CATAATCTGTGCACTGGAAACATGGCAACACTATCTCAAGGCCACCCCATACCAGTTTGAAGTCTGGACAGATCGCTTGAACCTCCAGTATTTCATGAAGGCACAAAATCTAGATTGCTGCCAAGCATGTTGGACCCAGTATCTCTCTTGGTTCAACTGCAAGCTGGTGTACAAACTGGCTCCTCAATGGCTAAGGCAGATGCTCTCTCAAGGAGGGAGGATCATGAACCAGAGAAGGGGTTGGACAACCAGGGGGTTACACTTCTTGACCCTTCCAGGGTGGCTGCCACCTTGATGGTAGGAGAGGATGTAGACCTCATCATTGCCCTGAAATCTGCTTCCTCTGCCACACCACAACTGGAGGGCTCTGTCCTTCAAGAAGGGATGTATGTCTGTGCAGGGAAGGTCTACATCCTGCCTGCTGCCAGGATCCATTGCCTTGAAAAGCATCATGACACTCCTGTTGCAGGTCACCCAGGACGGAAGAAGACTTTAGAGCTTGTCTCCTGTAACTACATCTGGCCTGGAATGACTTCCTCTGTCAGGGACTATGTCTCAGCATGCCACTGCTGTCAGATGGCTAAAAGCTCTAGAATACCCCTGGATGGAAAACTCCTTCTGAACCCTGTTCCAGAGCACCCTTGGGTTGACATCTCAGTTGACTTCATGGAGTTATCAGAAGTGCAGGGCTTGGATAATGTCATGGTGGTGGTGGATAGGTTTTCAAAAGAGATGGTCTTTTCTCCTACTACCAAGGAGGTCTCCTCACTACAGACCATGGAGCTCTTCTGTGACCATGTGTGGACTCAACATGGCCTTCCTCCATCATCTCTGATTGTGGCCCACAGTTTGCTAGTGCATTTACCAGCAAGCTCTGCAAAATGCTTGGGGTCAAACCCAAGCTTTCCACCACCTTCCACCCTCAGACAGATGGTCAAACCAAGCATCTTAACCAGGACCTCCAGCAGTACCTCTGCCTCTTTGTCAATGACAGACAGGGTTCCTGGCCTTCCTGGCTGAAAGTGGCACAGTTCTCTTATAACAACAAGTGCCAGGAGTCCACTGGCAGGAGCCCCTTTTTGGTTTCTCACTCCTATACTCCACAGATGGGTATGGAACCCTTCCTTTCCAGGGCAGAGGCAGCCACCAACCATGCTGTGGACCTGGCTAGGGTCTTGGAGGATACCAGGCAGGCTCTAGAAAAGGCAGCAGATCAGATGAGAGTTAACTCTGAGAACCATCGCTTGGAGACCCCAGCATATTCCATTGGTGACATGGTCTGGTTGGAAACTTTGAGGATCTCCCTCTCCAGTCATCCCTCTTGGAAACTCACTGAACAGTGGATTGGCCCTTATCAGGTTGTTTCACTTAAACCAAATGCAGTTGAGTTGAAACTCCCTAAAACCCTCAAAATCCACCTGGTGGTCAATGTCTCTCGAGTTAAGCCATATAAGGGGCTGTTGGAGGGCCAAGCTGTCACCTGTCCTGGCCTGGTGGTGGGTTATGAGGGCAATGAAGAGTTTGAGGTGGACTACATTGCTGACTCTCGCCTCAAGCAAAGCAGACTGGAGTTCCTGGTCCATTGGAGGGGCTACCATGATGAGGATCATACCTGGGAGCCCAAGTCTGCTCTTAGGTCTGCCCCTGCTGCTGTCTGGGACTTCTATTGCTGACATCCCTCTGCACCTTGTAAACTCCATGGCATGGACTCCTCCCTTTTCTCCTCCCTCTTCCATCCCTTTGAGAATCTTACTGACACCATCCCAACCTTCAATCACCTGGAAGTTGATTTCTAAGGAGGGGATAGTGTTACGATATGCACTCTTTCTCCTTTTCTTTCCTTTTCTTTTCATCCTATCTAATCTCTTATCTTATCTCTCCTCTTTGGACTAGGTCTGGACTCTAGTCCAGACCTTGCCTCACTCCTACCACATGTTCTCCTTCTAGTACATTCCACTCCACTATGATGTCATGGACCTCATGTGTGCCTCACTGTTACTGCATGTACCCTGGTATAAGTACTGTTGCTCAATCTCCCAACTAGCTCTAAGCTAGTTCATTTGAGTCTACAAGTCCTAAAGCACTCTGCTTCTAAGCCATTTTCCCTTTTCTTCCTTTTACTTCTCTTTGTGGTTCTTGGTGTGAGCCTACAACAAAACCTGTTGTTAGGTCTCATCACACTCCTGAGAAATTGCAAGGCAATTGATATGTGTGCAGAAGATGATCTTCCAGACATCCTTGTTCTACTGTCTTGGTATGTCATCTGTCTCATGTCTGCATCTATCCATCCTAAAGTTGCCTCACTCTCCAGGATGTAAATCTCCTTTACATCACACACATGCTACTGTAATCAATCAACCCACTCAAAAGACATTAATAATAGTTGAGGTCACTCCCTTTCTCATCCCCTTTTCCTCCCTATTCCAAGTCATTCCTAGTATTTCTCCTTATCCCTATCCCTGGTCATCCCTTTCTTTCTCCTTACCATATTTCATATAAATATAAGATTGTTTGTGGACCTCAGAACATTCACCTGCCACAAACTGGTTGCCACATCTACCTTGCCCACCCAAATATGGATATGTCCTTTATAGACAATTTAGACATCACAATATTGGATAAAATACTCAGTTTCTGCAATGCCCATGACATCACCTGCTTTGGCTCTACTTCCCAACACAACACCATTGTTGCCCATGAATACTTGCAACATCATATACATGCTCTAGCTGTGCACTTCTTCCATGACCCTGAGATTCTAATGGACATGTTGTGTTCTTGTGACACTGTCATCTCCAGTTCTAGTGCTCTCCATTTACTGTTGCCCACCAGCTATACTACATGGAACCCTACAGACCTTGACATTTATGTGCTTCTTCACACCTTCCATTACCTTACCTGGTTGTTAAACAACCATGGCTACTCCTCCATGTCTAAAGGTGCTGTTAATCATTCTACCTATTCTTACTGGAAGATTGCCAGTGTCTACACCTTCTCTGATGGTGTTCATATGATGGACATTGTCATATGCAAAACCTCTGCAGCATTCTCTCCTCTTTTCCAGTTTCACTCTACTGCCTTAATGAATTTTGTCAGTCATGACCAGATCTTTTGCACATATCCATCCCTCACTCTGCACCATCTTCAGTGACAAGCACATTGATGCTCTCCAGAAATATGTCCTGTGTGGTTTCAAACATGTCCATTGTGCCAATGTGCATGACAGGGGTGGCTATTGCAGATCCAAATGCTGCTCAATCACTGACACTGATTGCTTGTGGATTGACACTCAATCCCTCTCTCAAGTGTGCACATTGCCAGGACATATTTTCTTGTGGTATGGCATCATGAATTTTGATTGGCTCCTGGGTGGAAGGGTGTGCAGTTCAGTGGGTGGTTATCTTTGGCCACAACACAAGGTTGTCACTGATGACTTGTACATTTCCTTCTGTAGCATTCTTGAGCAACATCTGATCTCTTCCATCTAGGGCCTCTGCAATGAGCAAGATTCTGTGGTAGTCATGTGATTTTTGAAAATAACTAGGCAAATCAGAGAGATACAATTATATAGCAGTTTAGCCAGAGAGCTTGCCCTGTATCTGATTGTAAATTCTGCAAGGCATATCCAGGGGTGCCCAGAGGGGCTGTGTATGGACAGGGTTCATTTCACTCCAACACATGTAACTGTAAACACAATCCTGATTGTGTCTACAGGGTGGTTGTGTCAACACAGATCATCATCCATCAACTACTCAATGAAATATTTCTTGTACAACGAAGCCAAAAAAAGAACAAGACCATCTCCAACAGCTTGCATTGGTGGACATGATGCTTAGAGAGCACAATTATTTGACCAGTTTGCAAATAGCAGTCCCCAGCAAGGTCTATGTGTAATTGGAGTCAACAGAAGGTGGATGATTTGCAGCAGATTGTTTGGAGGACAAATCTTCAGAACTAATATCACATCCATGTGGGTTGGATACTCAGCAATGACATCAACTGTACTCACACGTTGGGGAACATCCGACTCAACGATGCGAAGGGAAAATGACTTGCATCCATTACCTGAAGGGGAGATGAAAGCACTGGACCAAGAAATGGAAAATGAGAGCACTTACGACCAGAGGGAGGGAAGTAGCAATAGGTCAGCGGGCGCGCAACAGTTCAGAAGGCAGTAACACGCACTCCCTGTGGAAAGGTAATAGCAGGGGAAGGGTCAATGGGCATACGGGTAAAAGGTGAGAATACGGACTGGCTGTGGATGGGGAATAGCAGGAAAGGGTCAGCAAACGACCAGACGCTCCAAAGGTGACAACACGCACTTCCTGTGGATGGGAAATAGCAACCAAGAGTCAGCAAACCCCCAGACCCTCCAAAGGTGAGAACACGCACTTTCTGTGAACGGGGAAAAGCAGGCAATGATCAGCAAACGCCCAGATGCTCCAAAGGTGAAAACACACACTTCCTGTGAATGGGGAATAGCAGGCAAGGGTCAGAAAACCCCCAGACCCTCCAAGGTGAGAACACGCACGTCCTGTGGACAGGGAATAGCAGGCAAGGGTCAGAAAACCCCCAGACCCTCCAAAGGTGAGAACACGCACTTCCTGTGGACGGGGAATAGCAGGCAAGGGTCAGCAAACCCCCAGACGCTCGAAAGGCGAGAACACGCACTGGCTGTGGATGGTGAATAGTAGGCAAAGGTCAGCAAACCCCCAGACGCTCCAAGGGTGAGAATACGCACAAGCTGTGAATGGGAAATAGCAGGCAAGGGTCAGCAAATTCCCAGAGGCTCGAAAGGCGAGAACACGCACTGGCTGTGGATGGTGAATAGCAGGTAAAGGTCAGCAAACGTCCACACGCTCCAAAGGTGAAAACGCACCACCTGTGGATGAGGAATAGTCACCAAAGATCAACAAATGGCCAGATGCTCCAAAGGTGAGAACACGCACTCGCTGTGCATGGGCCATACCAACTATGGGTCGGCAAACGGCAAACGCCCTAAAATGCACGGCCACCCACGTTCTGAAGGCATGGAACAGTTATGCGGTCGTCAGCAAACTGCGTGCAAATTAGCTGTCACACTATGCCAGCTGTAGTTTTCCAAGCCCAAAACGTCAGTAGTGTTGAAACACAAGCATATATTGTGTCCAATACACCACATGCTTCACCACAAAATTGTGAATGAGGCTCTCTGCTACTTCCATCCGTCCATCATCACTGAGTTGTGATATCCTCCCCTGCCAGCTTCTAACGTCTTGCTCTTGGGTGCCCGTTATCTGAAAGCGTCGCGAGCAGTAGCGACTACCGGTCCATTGTGAGCCCTGCCTGATAATCGCAGGAAATCAGTTTACCACGTGATGCTGCAACCATGTACCAATGCATCCATGAGTGTGGCACCGTCAACCTCGACATCATTCCATTTCCCACAGCGGCACCGACATCTTGCAGAAAATATCCTGACCACTTCTACGGTAATAATCCTCATGATGATTTTAGTCCCTGGCTGAATAGTTGACCACACATCACTTTCCCTTGTCAGTTGAGTTACGTTAGTGCCGTCGTCAATCACAATATCATACTGTCCCTTGTCAATATACCACTGTTGGATCTCAGCTTCATCTGGCCGACATTGGTGCAGTATGCCAGGAAGAAAGGCCAGCAGTCGCTAAAAATATGGTAAGGTGTGTGAATCCACAACTGAGTTCCAGCAACTAACATCAACAGAACTGCACTGATCAAGCAGCATGTTATGTTCCCGTCCTGTCGCATCGACCATTATCACATAACCAGGGGCGATGGTTGTAGGTAAGTGTCTCGCATCTAGTGCCATCAGAACTTGCATGATAGATTCGAATTGTGTCTGCTGAGTTTGGCCGAGGGTGGTGACGTCGGTCTGAAGTTGCATTTGGGACAATGCCTGCACAAGACGAGGAATAAGTCAGGAGTGACACAATGAAGATGCAAATTCACCGTAATTTCGGAAAGATATTCATTGATTTTGCTGGAACATCCAGCTATTTCTTGCGTGAGAAGTATGGACCCACGCATGCGGCTTCGCATCTTGTTCAACTTGGTTGCGGTCTCACCTAGCATCCTGATCATGAGCTAGCGTTTCGTTACGGAATACTCCGCGTACTTCGTCGAGCGACTTACTTGATCAACCCTTGCCGCCTGGATTCCTCAAAATCGGTGCGAGCAGTTGGGGCATTGGCCACATGGCAGCTGAGATCGCGCAGTCGGTCAGTGAGGTCATCTAAGGCCAGGCTGTTCTGGGTACATCTCTACGATGACGTTTAGAAACAAGAACAATACATGAAAATGGATCAACATCACATCTATAACTTGAAGAACAGCCGGTAATCCGCTAATGGCAGCCTTCAGCGATTGGGATTACGCCCACAGCTTCTTGTACCACAGGTAAAGTTATCTGAATGGAATCGGAGACACTACGACCATATAGCGCATGGGAAGCCTCGGAGGGGGGAATGACCGTCGAAAGTTGCTGATTCGAAGCGGGCGAGGTTTGGGACGAGCTCGAAGCAAGCATTCGTGGGGAGACATCACCCAAGCCTGCAGCGACGGAGCTATCGTGCGGCGCTCGAGTGGCTTTGTCTCCCCGCCTGATACGAATAGCAATAACCTTGCTGAAGATTTCACTGAGACGAGCCATACAACAGAAGCAACAGTGGTGACCCTAGGACCACGGCATGAAGCAGCACCGTGTGTGCACAGCACCGACACAGCATGTAAAATCAATATTTACAGTGAACTTCATGCTCGGAAACAGTGTGGCTATAACGCTGCATCTGTGTATTAGTATCCCCGAATCTCGAAATGATAACCCTCACTTTTCGTGCAGGGGGTGGTACTTGGTGGTACCGAAGGGCTGTGAGGAATTTACACATATCGTCATATGCATCATCGTTTCAATTTAAGCAAGAGGTTTTTTTGTTGATATATGCTACGGTATTGATGACAGTGCAGAACTAATAGAACTTAGTATTTGGAAGTGATGGGAAAATTCAAAGAGAAAGGTTCTTCGAGAGACACAACGACACTAGTACATTTAATATCGTCGTCCACCTCTACCTCCGGGTCCTTGATACGGGCCATAGTCTGGAGGAGGACGGCCAGCTGCAAGAAGTAGGTACCAATTAGTAACTTCACATCCCCTCTTGGAGAAACAAAGGACGTAACATACTTCCGCGAGGGGGTGGAGGTGGCGGTGGCGGGGTCGCCCTCCGCGTAGCACTCGGAATGACAGCATTGCGGAACAACATCATCAAATCATCAACCCTGAATATCGGACCTGCAAAGGGGAAACAATGGTTCGCGCGATCAATGACATCGTTCTTCCCATTGTAACACAAAAAAGGCGACGGTTCACACGTCGTCAAGTACTGACCATCAAAAGCGGCCGGATTAGGTAACTGCCCAACGAACCACGACAAGACTGTAGGCAACGGAGATGGCTTGTCTTCGTCTCGGTCCCTCTTGAGGTGTCCAAGTTCTCGGTCTCGCTCCTTCTCCCATCCAGCTGGGCTTGCAAGGCGTCTCCGGTGGGGCGGCCCAGCCGACCTGTCTCGATCACGCTCACGCGGGGGTGTCAAGGGCCTCTGACGTTTGGACGGTGGTCCAAAGTCAGGCTTCACTGAGTCCTCTCTGCGCTTGAGGTCCGGCGTCGAGTGTCTCTTGGATGTTTGCGCTTGAGGCACATGCGACAATGGCACCATGGATTGAAGCGACTCAGTGCGTCTCTCAAGCCCTGCCGCCGATGTGGCAGCGTTACCTCCCGCCGCAGGCTGGCGGGCTGCCATGGCAAACCCGAGATCCCTTGCTGCAATGGCATCGGTACCCAGGTACGTGTGTCGTTGAGCAAATCGTTTGATAGGAGGGTCTGTCAGACGAACGATGTCAACAAAAAGGCTCGCCTTCGCAAAAAAGCTGTACTCACCAGTTGGGTAGACTTCGGCAATACGTTTCTCAAGTTTTTGCGCAGCCTCGAGATCACCAAACTGATACTCGTAACGTGCCCACCTTTCCCACAATGGTCGTGCCCGATCGGGGCTAAACGCGGTAATGACACGCTCGAAAAGCGCTCGTGCGTCTGATGAAAATCTCGTAAGTTGCTGACAGGGAGGGACATCAATACACCCAGGCTCACTATTGTCATCATTGACCGATATCAAGAAACCAAGATATCTCAAAACAAACTCAATCTCGTCACCGAAACTTTCCAGACCTTTTTCAAAGATACGACACGCCACTCCGAGACCACCGTCTTTGTTGCAATGGTATTCCATTAGTGCTGTCGGAAATTCGTCAAGTTGACTTGAGAACTTTGTCGTTGCCTTCTCACACACCTGCAGCTTCATAAACCTCCCAGGGTGTCCACCGGTCTTTCCTGGCTTTCGCAAATACCGCTCGGAAAGTTTTGAGATCGTGAGCTCGGCGCGCGTATCGAATGTACATAATCCACACAAGACCGTATTCAGACCGGCGTTCTTGCAACTCTTTGGACTTGGGAGGTTTCTCATCAGCATTCTGGGTGGCAAAAGACGAGTTGTTCGACACAGTGCCTGGTTCTGTCAGTCCCGGAGTTATTGAGCTAGGAACACTCGTAACCACAGAACGGCCAGTGATATCAGACGAGAATGACGAAGATGCCGAATTCACCCGGGCCTCAAGTTCCTCGAGTTGCACATGCAGACGGTCGATAAGTTTGTCGAAAGTAGCGTTAACTTCGGCGTATTCCTTGCGCCCCTCTTGCAGCTCAGCATATGCAAAATTAAGGAGGAAACTAGTCGGATTTGCTTCGATGCCGGCCTTCAAGATGTTTAGCGCTTCTTCTTGCTTACCAATGCTGTTTGTCCACACAAACGCCATGTACCTTGCAGAAGGTAATTAATTCAGGCAAAGGCCGAAGCAAGAAGACTCACCAAATCTCGCTATAAAATCGCATGCGAATGACTGCCTTGCGATAAACAAGCTGGACACGCGATACCAACGTGGCTTTATCTTTATCTTCAAATTCGAGCGGGTTGTTCTCTTCCCACTTGAGATAAGTTTTCCATGCTCCCACAAGTGCTCTTTCAGCTGCGTTGAATGTTGGTGCAGGCGGTAGATAAATTGATGGCCGGGTCGAAGAAGACGGAGGTGGAGGTGGGAACAACGGACCGAGATGTCTCTGTAATTGTCGAAGTACTGTTCGGGCTTGCATATGAGACGGAGACAAATCAGACATAAATTTTTTAGCCTGCGAAGAAAATTAAACACTCAAAAGGGTAACGCAAAAGGGACACAAACCGTAATCTTGTTCAGCCCGTTCTCGAAAGCCTCAAGCTCAGACCACAACTTCTCCACATTCTCGAGGGGAATCTGAACTGCCCTATGATAGACCTTACGCAAAGCATCCATCTTTTGTTGTTCTTCCCAAGTAGTATTCGTCTAATGACGACATCAGTTAACATCGACAGAGTTGGAAAAATAAGTTTATACCTCGCCGGCTTTGAGGAATTGGATGTAATCATACCAAATCTCTCCACTATCTTTGTCTTGTCCGATGCGATTGAGTGCAAATTCATAAGCTCGACTGACGGCTTCACGGCTGGTAAGCGACGTATTTACGCGTCTGTAGATTCGGCGTTGGATCAAAAACGTTGTGCGGGGCTGCGATCTGTTTTGCCTGACTGACCTGACGTATGTTATATAAAACTTCCAGAGGTCAACTGATGGTGAAGTTCTCAAGAAGCGCTTGAACAATTCCTCGGCGTACTGGAACAGTCCTGGACTCAAGAAGTGGTTGAGATAGGCAATTTGGGCAGACGACTTGACATTCCGCTGTCAAACTAAGGGCTTGGGAACAAACAGAATGTCATACCGTGTTGGGATACGTCTCGAACAGGGCTTCGTAGGTCTGCTTGACTTGTTCAAGATCACCACTATTTTCAGCGATGTCGACGAGGTAGTTCCAGCCTTCCGGGTCATGGGGATGTTCACGCAATTTCTCGCGTAGCACGTGCCACTCAGACGGTGGGTCCATTGGGGTATCGGTATCTTGGCCAGCATTATCATCTTGTGCAAGAGCAGGCTCGTGCCCGTTTTGAGTCGCTTCCAAGATCGCCTTCGGGTTGAGAGCATTCAAAGCATTCAATATGTCTTCTGTGGGCTGGGTCTTGTCGCCACTGTAGCTGGTGTCTTGAGACGTGTGCTCTGTGGGTGTTCCGTTGTCGTTCCTAACGACTGGTAGTTCAGACATGTCCTGGCCAGTCTGTCCGGGACTCGTGCAACCGACGAAAAACGTTGCAAAATCAAAGGCCGACATTTTACGCCGTCTTTCTTGCCCTTTCCCACGCCTCGTCAGCGTCGACGGGCCACTTCCAGGTTCCAATCAGTCCTAGTCAGTGAGTAGTAAGTTAGTAGCAGTAGCAGAGTGCGACATGCCCCTGCGTGGCGTAGGCCATTCGAAACTGGTCGGCGACGAGGCACCCTTCTTTGATTCTTTGGCAGAGCTCGATGCTTGGTTCACGCAGCCTCACTCCAAGTTGGCGGGCGTCTTCCGGTATCAGCCTCGTCCCCCAGTCAAAGGGCAATCAGATAACAGAGGGAAGTTACTGGTAAGGTGACAGTGTTTCTACGTTACTACATCAGTTGCTAAGATCTTCCCCCATCTTCCCTGCAGGTATGCCACGATTATAAAGTTGGTGACTCGTCGCATCGTTTATGTCACTTGCTCGCAATTGACGCATGGTGACTCGGTTCATCAAATGCGGGTATCCAGGGAGGCTACACCGAATCACCGTCGGGGACCTGCTATACCTTCAATTTCTGGTCCCTGTGTGATACATTCGTCTAGTGCGTACCACCCCCTTGCCACATCCTCCGTCTGGCCAGTTGATATGCACTGGTCGTGGAAGCTTTTCACATCATCGCATTACCGTTCCCCCTTCGGGGTGGATTAACGCTGCTCATAAGCAAGGCGTGAAAATGTTGGGCGTTCTGTGAGCAAACCTGTCAATATTACTCTATGACCGCTTCCGTTCAACTCGAGATCAGGATATTAGAACACTCAGAATCAGATACAGACGGCCTCAAACTTTTGCTAGGAAACGTTCCCAGCCTCTCCACCGGCTCAGACGCAGCGAGCGGAAGCATCCGCCTGTCTGCGCACTATGCATCTTGCCTAGCCGAGCTAGCCTTTCAACGCGGTTTCGACGGGTATCTGCTCAACTTCGAGTCTAGTCTCCCTGGCGGTGCCGAACAAGCTCGCGCTTTGACAGCATGGATCACCCTATTGAGAGCAGAACTTCGCTCCAAAGTCGGAACCCACGCAGATGTGGTGTGGTAGGTACCCTGGTCTTAGATTCGATCATCCCACGCATTGATTGCAATGCAAGGTATGATAGCGTGATCATTAACGGAGAGTTGAGGTACCAAAACAGACTCAATCATCGCAACTTGCCATTTTTCCTGGCTTCGGATGCACTCTTCACCAACTACTTTGTAAGGAATGTTTGCATCCAAGATCGAGCGAGTTGACAGAGTATATGCCTAGTGGCCTCCTAATTATCCGGCACTTGGAGCAGGTTACTTTTTGTCCATCGATCCAGTCCTGTTGGGCAATTCACCCATAACTCGAAATGTCCAAACGAGAGTGAAAACCCTTCAATCGGTTTTGACGGGAGTTGATGTCTGGGGCCGTAGTCAATACGGTGGCGGGGGATTTAACAGCTACAGAGCCATTACCCACATTGATCCGCAATCTCTCGGACTTAGCGTCGCACTTTTTGGACCGGCGTGGACCTGGGAATCCGAACAGGACAAGCCCGGTTGGAATTGGGAACAGTGGTGGGATTACGAGCGTAAACTCTGGATCGGCCCTTCTAACCCCGGCGAAACTGTACCGGTTCCCGACCCTCCGAAGCGCTCTGACAACCCTCCCTACAATGAGGGCGCATTCAAACCTCTGAGCGCATTCTTCGTAAATACGCCATCCCCAGATCCAGCAAAGTCTCCGTTCTATACCTGTTTTTCCCCTGGAATTGGTTGGTCCTGGTTCGTCGACGGCGTGAATGTCTTGCAGACCGAGAAGGGCTGGACGGACATTGACAAGCAGTGTTCTATTGGTAATCTTGCATGGCCCACACCCACTTTGCAATGGGAGGGCGACGGGAGGAACGAAGATTTGCCCACCGCATTGACCGCATTTGATATGACGGACGGATGGAACGGCGGTAATACCTTGAAGGTTTCAGTCGCATGTGGAGGCAGTGATGCGGAGGATGCGTTCTTCCGATGCATCTGGTTACCCGTTCAGTCTTTGACGATTAGCGCTGGGAGGTCATACGAAACCTGCATTGCATACAAACCCGGGTCGGACGAGACCGTCGACCTTGATCTTGCTGTCATGGTCAAACCTCTTTCCTTAGGGGAGGAAGGGGAAACCAAATTGGAAGTCGGGCAAGCTATTCTGACCGATCTTCTGCACGGATGGTCCAAGCAGGAATTGACATTCACCTCGACGTCAACATCGGGTCCAATATCGATCGCTGTTGGTCTCGTAGTTGGTTTCGTAGCTAAAGACCCTTCTTTGCCGTGCAACTTCGCATTATCGCTCGGCAAACTCGCAGTATACCCCTCTCCACCAACTCCACCGATATCAGTAGGTTCTCCCCATGTTTTCTGGGCCTGTTTCACTCCCGACTCTGCTACGGATTCCTTAGCTAACTTGGTCGGCGTCTTGACTTGGGACACGGCACTCTCTCTCCCGCCAATGCCTCCGATTGACCCATACAAAAATCATCCTGAAGACCCACGCCCTGCCTGGGTCTTAGACGACGCTCTACCCCAATCCGTATCTTTCCTGTACTTCAACGTCTACGTCACCACTTACGCAAGTGAGATTGATACGTCGGATTTGCTCCCCACCACGTTCATCGGCACCACTGGACTGGACGGGCGTGCCAACCGATTTTACGTTGAACCGCAGTGCCTGCCTCAGGGGTTAGAACGGAAAAGGTGTCTCAGATTTTATGTGCAAGGCGTCACGAATCTCGGCGAAGTTCTCCCTTGGGAGAGGTGTGCCTTTGTAGACTATATCATCAAGCCATGAGCCGCGCCAGCTGTTTTATGAGAGAAGTCGTTGTCGAATACCTGGCATATGTAAGAACAAGGTCATGTCGTATTAGGTAGTACGGAAACAAATGCTCAGTAGTAAGGGTACACTTGACATGCACAACACGAACGCCGGGCGCAAGCATACATGGAAATCAACGTGTCAGAACGAATGTAACATCGGACGTATACCAACAGACGTAAGAATCACAAAGCAACCAGCTTATGCGTCCTTCACAAGCTTCTGAATCTCCTCAACTCCTTCATCGACTGCCCAGAACCCCTCCCATTCATCTCTGACGCCGGCGGAAGCCTCCACAGAAACAGGTTTGGTCTCTCCGGTGAGCGACGTGCACTGCTTGAGGTACTTCTCCTTCATCTCTCTGTTCACTCTCTCCGCCTCCTTTGCCTCCTCGCTGCCCCGCCATATCGCAAGCTCCAGTATGCGTCTTACTATGGTGCGCAGCAGCAAGTATCCATGCGAAGCGAGAAGCGCAACGAGAAGCGCATGGCCAAGCAACTCTTTCGTCGCGGCCAACCCATTGCGTCCGTGACCATGATGGTGATGGTGGAGATGTGTGCCAACGTCCCCATTCACGTCCATCTGAGTGCTGAGCTCGTGATCAGGAGGGCGGAAAAGGTACGCGAGTGCCGAGTTCGTAAGGGCAGAGAGCCAGGTCAGGAACGACAACGACTCGAGCCAGGGCCCAATCGTGTCCGTGCGGACGGGAATCGGCCGCCTCGCGTGGGTCGCAATCTTGAAAGCATCAGAGCGTGCCTCTATATAATTATTGAGCAACGCCATGAGAGGTGCTAATGGCCAGATCGTCGACCACAACGCAATATAGCCAAACTGCGTCACCATCTCTCCATAGTCTTCGAAAACGTTATATTCTGGGCGTGTCACCTCGCTGCGCACGATCTCAAGGAACTCGCGTTCTTCTTTGGTACGCTTCTCCTGAGCTTGGCCCTGGTTTTGTCCATGTCCGACAGACTCGTCGTCAAAAGCAACACGCTTCTTCTTTATCTTGCCATTGCGAAAGCTCTTTCCACTCCGGAAGGATTCAATAGCCCGCAGAACGTAAGGCAACCCGATCTCCATAAAGTTGTTCACCACCTGGTTCGTGACGATGAACGCGAACATCTGTTCTTGTAACCTCGAAGGGTTCAGCTTTTGCCGCGCATTCTCCCTATCGGCTTCGAACAAGTTGTGAGCGGTCACCTTTCCTACCATTTTCTCCCCTCTACCACCACCCGATCCGACCTTGATGGTGTCGTTCAAGTTTATACTAAATCGTTCGAGGATGACGGCTGCGTGACGACTCCCGGAGAAAATATATCGTTGCACAAAATGCATGACACTTTCTCCAAAAGGCACATACACAAATGCAGACAGCGCAAGACCAAGGTAAGCGTTCATTGCGGAGAGCGCAAACACTTTGATCGCTAGCGAATTACTGTGACTCGATTGATGTGCGTGGTTCTCCCAATCCGTGAACCGCTTTGCATATGACTTATAACTGGCCATGACCTTGGGTACGAGCGCCATGAACAGGATCGTAGGTGTGAAAGACTGTCGCAAGGTGTTAGCAGGTTTACTCAGAAAAACGGGACACGATAACACGGTAATGAGAGTAAACTCACGATTATCTGGTGTCCTGGGCCTTTGTATAATCGCGTTACGAACGCCTCAAACACGAAAATCCCCGTCAAAATGACTGCTAGGACGCTGGCAAAAAGTAGTATAATGGGTATACTCGCAACCCTTCGGAATTCCTTCTTCCACCAAGGCATGCCAGGATGATAATCCGCTCGTCGTTTTTCTACTCGGAATGATCCACGAGTGCACCACCTCACCGAGAGAATACGTTCTTGGAGGGCCCACCACTCCACGAATACGACAGACCACACCAGTAGGAGAGAGGAGTATAGTGCCGAATATGGAGTCCCGAAAAAGTAAAACACGAGGCCAAGCACAGCCGGAAAAATGAGGGCACGCGTGTACGCCGTCAGGAAAAAGAAATAAAGGGCAACTGAGTCTCCAAACTGATGTAGTTTTCATCAGAGCTAGAGATTAACCACTTAGGACGATAAAGAGAACATACCTGATCTCTTATTTTGTCGAGCTGCACTGATGCAATACGGTGCCTTGTCCATAATCGTATCCAATGTTCGTTGAAGTCGTGATCGTGAAGTGCCATAACGGACTCCACGAGGTCCCATTCTTTGCATCCAGGTATGATTCCAAGACCTCCGTCTTGGGGAGTAGAGCATATAAAGGCGTGCACGAGACGTATTCTGTCAGCTGGCGAGAGTGGAGCTGCATCCAGGTCTTCCTCAACTGACGGCAACCTTGACATAGGCAGACCATACAGGAAGTCAGAATACCTGTAGAATCCAGTCTTAGTGGGATTGCCATTGCGCCACGAGACCTTGGAGCTTACCGCTCGCAGTGCACCAGCCTGGACAGTACATTCTGCGGACAAGTGACGAGTATGAGTAGTTGATCCTGATTCTCTCCGCTCCTCCCAACTGCTTTGAGACCCGCTCTGTTGAGTGTGTCAATTAGAGCAGTGTATTGCCGTTCGGCTTTCAGAACATTCTGGCGCACTTGCTCCTTCGATAGGGATGTCACCTTAAGCGGAGAGACACGAAAAACAATGACAAGGTCCACTTGGGGTGGCATGGTCGTCACGGAGACAAACCCGAGCAGGTGCACAATGCAGTCAGCAAGATGGACGTAAGTTTGGAGTGCACGGCGCCTGACGCTAACGAGGGAAATGAGGACCTGTATTACCATCTAACCGCGCGTTGTTGACACTTGTTTGGTAGTAGCCAGGTTGGCGCCTAATGTGTGGAGGCAAGAAGGGTGAATTCTTCGTACATACACAAACGTCACTTCGATGCAAGTAGCTAATAGCAAAGTATCGCCTGGGCATACCACGAGAGACGCAACACGAACCCAAGCACGAGTTTTAAGTTTTTGAGCCAGTCATCAACGGGCGTACGGGTGATAACTGTGCTGACCACGTTGCGCAGCTCGCTGTGGGCCAACACCAGGCCCACCGGGTCCTCCGGGTCCTCCTTGTGCTCCACGTGGTCCCCGAGGAACGTTAGGTCCTAGGCCGTTCGGGCCAGTTGGAGGACCACCCTGCGCGGCTCCTTGGCTACCCCTGCCCATTCCACCACCTGACACGCCGCCGCCGCCACCACCCATACCAACCCCACCCGCACCACCCATTCCGGCTCCCATACTGCCACCCATACCGCCGCTCATACCCATGGCTCCCATGCCCCGTCCCATTCCGCCCATACCTCCCCCGAAACCTGCTCCAAAATTACCTCCACTCATACCACTCATCATAGGATTCATACCCATACCACCCATCATGCTAGCGCCACCTGCAAGCTGGAACATTCTGGTGTAGAGCGCGGCGAGTGCTTGTGGGTCAAACGGAGTGTTGCCTGCAGATGGACCGGTCATCGCGGTGCCCATACCAGCTGCCACATTCGTAGCACCGGCCGTACCAGCACCGGCGCTGAAACCACCGCCACCACCTTGTGCACTGAATCCACTTGCCCTTGTGTCTTCACTGAAATGGTCACGTTGATAACGAGGTTGTGCTAATTTAACATCAATCTGGCAAATTCATCCACCAGTCAGTATGATAACGAGATAGGACTTGACCCCGACTTACAAGTTTACCATCAATCTCCAATTTTCCAAACCCAAGGAATGGTGTTACATCCGTATCCTCAAACGATACAAACCCAAAGCCCTTGCTTCGTCCAGTCTCACGGTCGAGCATGACCGTAGAATCAATAACCTTGCCGAACTGGGAAAAGAAGTCCCGCATCGATTCTGATGTGACGCTACCAGGGAGTCCTCCAATAAACAGTTTCGTAGCACGTTGGTGCTCCTGACGAGGTATTGCCCGTTTTGGGTCGATCTAAACGACGTTAGTGGCCAATGAGCGCCAAAGCTCCTTGCCAGACACGACACAATACATACGATTTTACCGTCGAGGAAATGCTCTCGAACCATAACCGCATTAACACTTGCAGGATCCTCGAACGTTAAGAAGGCGAAACATCGCGAACGTCCGGCAGCATCGCGCATGATTGTGCATGCATCTACTTTACCGAACTGCGAAAAGTAGTTCCTGAGGGACTCTATTCAAAGCCTATTTAGTGCTACTGGGCAGTACAGAAAATTGATGACGATGTAAGTACCATCGGTTGTATCCCAGTTGAGGCCGCCAATGAACATCTTGCTATAGATAGTAATCCAGGGTTGGACATGCAGCAGCAGCACGGATAGTTGGACACGGACGCAAGCACGTCGAAGGATGACGTTGAGACATGCAAAGAGCAAAGTTGCTATTAGTTATCTGTTCAAGGACAGGAGACGTTATAACAGAGAGAAAATGAGAGGACGCTACTGTGTCTGAGTGTCGTGCTAGCCTAGCCTAGGCTAGACGTAGGGAAGTGGATACGGTAGAGCTAGCCTAGTCTTAGTCGACAGAGCTGAGTAGCTAGGCGTGACGACGACGTGACCGACTACAGAGCTAGTTGACTGGTGGGCCAACAATTTCTTTGAGACAACCCCACAAGTTGCGACAGCAGCGGCGACCACAGAAGGTCTAGCTTCGAATTAGCCAAGGTTACGACCTCGATGACTCACCCTTCATCCTTCATCTCAGAAGGTCGGATACTTCGTTCTGGGATATGTGGTGGATCCAACTTGAGACCATCGGAAGGCTGGGGCTGTTGATACGTGGGAATTTGTTGTGGCGCTGACGAATAGGATATCGGACTCGAGTGAGTCGGAATGGGTTGATAGGTTGGTTGGGTCGTAGGCTCCGACTTCGGCCGTGGGGCAGCTATTGAACTTGAAAGTGGTTCCTGCCTGGGTTCTGTGCGGGGTGAGACGGTGGATGCAGGTGTTTCGGTCGAGGTCTCGGATGGCTTCTGTATGTCAGCCTTGGTTTCGTTTAACTCCACTGCAGCCGTAAAGTCAGCCTCGTCGTTTCCGTATAAATCTGTAAATGAACCATGAACTCAGTTGCGCTCCATCAGCGATAACAGCAGCATACCGCCATAGAGGTCAGCGTCGAGCTCGGACATGACGACAACGCAGAGAGATGGTGGTCAGAAACGAAAAACCGAGAATACCAAAACGGCTTATGTCATCGTTTGTTCCCTTCCTTTTTCCCACGGATCCAATAGGGTCCGGCGCTTCTTAGGGGTCTCCGGCATAGCCTTCTTTTTTTTCGGCGTCGTGGCGGACGGCATCGGCAGTCCCGTAATCACGATCTTCGTGTAGAGTATTACTGTGACATCTATCGTGAGTTTTACTGCAGAGAACACAACGTTCCGCATTTCCTCCCTCTTTTTTACCATGAACCAAACACAGGATCGTAGAGGCGTCGGGATACTTGGTGAGCTTCGTCATCTCTGTGGGCCATCGGAATCCCTCGCTGATTCATTCCAGCCCTCCAAGGTGCTTTTATTGAGCATCAAACAGCACTCCAAAGGATCCCATCCGCAAGAAAAATCAATGTATCCCTTGTTCGTACTCCAGCGGATCTCGCAAAATGTGATGCCCTGATAATACCGGGCGGAGGCACGTCGTGTGTTCCTCCAATGACTCATCGTCCACCGACCCCTCACAGAGTCAACCACCATCGCCCTACTAGCAAAACTGGCCGGCCTTCTTGAACCACTACGACAATTCTCCAAGATAAAACCTATTTGGGGAACGTGTGCGGGAGCCATCCTACTTGCCCAGGCGGTGGAGAACACCAAGCAGGGCGGACAGGAACTCCTCGGAGGTATATCTGTGACAGTAGCTAGAAATGGTTGGGGATCGCAAGTATGAACACAATCTTTTTTGGCATCGCTGGAGACTTAGGAGGGATAACTTAGGTTGAATCCTTCGAAGCACCCCTGACTGTATCCGTTTTGGAAGATTCGGAGAAACCATTTACCGGTGTCTTTATTCGTGCACCCGTAAGCCTTATTTTCGTTGCAGTGCTTCAGCACGTATCTAATTTACTCGATTCAGGTGGTCCTTGCCCTCCACCCCAGTCCCGATGCGCCACCGATACAGATCGTAGCTCGTTTACCACCCGAGGCCGTCCCATCTACCCGACTCCATACTGGCCTCGAGGACCCTCGCACCATTGTGGCAGTTCGCCAGGGAAAGCATTTGTTAACCACCTTTCATCCCGAGCTCACCAAAGACGGTCGGTTCCATGAATATTTCGTACAGAACTGCATATTATCGCCGCATTCGATATAATTGTTTAACTGCTCGTTGTATTTGGCCATAGAGATTCGATATAGATGACCTTTGGTTCTGCCTCTGGAGAGGCACAGAGCCGGGGATGTGTTGTTTACGACTGTTTGGTTCTTTGACTCTGCGATGACATCATTGGGGTAATTGTCGTATGATGGGTGCAAACCTCTGGCAACTTTGGCAGGCTTGCTCTTCTACTTCCAGACACCTCCACCGGTTCACGACAAGCATCACAACGTTCTTTCCTCTAAGATGGATTCGTTGCCGGTAGACACATCCAACCCTGCAGTAAGGGATTATCTCGCTCTCGTTCGGTGGGTGGTCTGTCTGTTTTGACGTCAGCTTAGCGTACGAACGAACACGAATTTGCAGTCTTCAGGTTCTCACACCACTCTCACTTCTTATCAATATCGTGACTGTGTTTGTATGTGCGACGATCGTAAAACCGACAATTGGTAGGCGTTACCGTAGCGTTCGAACTTCGATCGAGTCGTCCTCACATTCCCATAATCCCAGGGGACTTAATAAGGTTGTACCCGACCTCGATCTCTTTTCATCCTGGTCTAGTGGCGGTCTACGTGATGATGATATACGTAGCACAGGTTGGATATTGCCTGTTGCTCGTCTTTGCTAGAAAGGCCGAGACGAAGGTAAGCATTGAGTATGATCTGTTTACGGATGTAAGTTTGAAAGCCCTGGTAATGCAGAAGGCCCAGGTCAAAGCTGTGGGCATTTCACTGGTACTCGCCAATTGGACGATGGCTTTCTGGGCGATAGCTTGGGTGAGTCATGTTCCCTTAACGTACGTCGAGTGTACCTTTGCGTGGTGCTTACACTTCGAAAAGGTTATGCGATTCTTCCTTGCCTCGACCATATTATTAGGCATTCTCGTAGTCCTGCTGGCATACTCTAACGTCGTCCTCCTGGTCTATCATACGCCGACGACTGATCGGCCGATCGACATGATGCTTATACACGCACCGCTTCGATTCTTTTTCGTTCTCCCGCTCTCGTTGATGTTTCCCTTACTCGTTATTGTAAGTAATTCAACATCTTCAACAAAGTTTTGTTTTCTCATTAAAAAATGCCCTTCCAGTATAACATTGGGTCTCACGTACTCACCCGGCCATCCGGAGCACTACGATCGCTACGCCTGGCCAGGCTTCGCTGTCGTATTTTCAGCAAACCTGCTCGGATTAGCAGTGATAGCCATCGGAAGAGACATCACATGGGCTGTCGCAGCAACGTGGATATGCATCAGCGAATGGACTGCAAAGCCGAAGCCTATGCCCGTCTACGTATGTATCCTTTGTCTATTTTGGTTGCAACTAGTTGAAACAACTTATTGATTTAGGCAACTACGATATTGTTCACTGTGCTCCATCCTCTCACTTTGCTGGCAACTATGTTGTATCACATCTTCTTCAAGCGGAGACTCAGCGGGCCTATCGCATTACCGGCTGATGATGATGATCACCATAGACCGCTTAGAAGACCGAGGGAGGTGGATTCAGATGCCTGGGCCTGAGCATTTCCTCCCCCTGATTCTTAAATGCCGGTGTCGTGTGGAGGTGACCCATACCATCGGTTATACTAGCTACGGCTAGTTTGTACACCTATCTTTATCATGTGTGGCCCGAAAGTTCTCATATTGACGGTCCCGTTGATTTCATCGCCGGCTTTCTCACTTAATCATCATGATGCAGAGTAACATACATACACAAATGAGTTACCCATAGTCACCAAAGAGCTTGTCCTTGAGATTGCGCTTGCCAAAAGCTTGAACTTCCTTGGCCTACTTGTGTGGCTGTGTAGCGTTAGCTGAATTTCCATATCGGGCAAAGTCACCCGTGACCCGAGAATTTTCGTGATGTAAGTGGGCTGCTCAGCGACAACTCCACCAGGTTCCTAAACACCTACTGAACATAAGGTTTTTGTGCCCGTGGCGGGACTGTGGACAGCTTATTAGAAAAAAAAAAACCCGTCACATTCGAGAAACCCACCTAGAGCACAAGCGTTGTCATGGCCCACGCAGACCACACGCGCGACCCATGGTACGCACAAGCCTCAATCTGAATGTCTACACTATCACTGTGCTAACCAACATTTCCATTCCAGTCCTTGGGTAATCCTAAGTGACTTTGGTGGTGCCTTTGCAATGGGTTCAGTCGGTGGAGCTATCTGGCACGGAATCAAAGGTGCTCGCAATTCTCCAAGGGTAGGTCTCTGCTAGCTCTCTTATAGTCTCTGTTGCCTGGAACACCAACAACTTTGGATTTTAGGGTGAACGACTAGTTGGTGCTATTTCAACCGTCAAAGCTCGTGCACCGGTCACGGGAGGAAACTTCGGCGTCTGGGGTGGCATGTTCTCCACTTTCGACTGTGCAATCAAGGGGTGGCGACAAAAAGATGATGCATGGAATGCCATACTCTCTGGTTTCATGACTGGAGGTTGTTTGGCTATACGAAGTGAGTTTTCCTTGCCCGCTACGTATTCGCCCCGAGTAGTGTCGCATACGACTCACTGTAACACTTGTTTCTTTGATGTTTACTGACACCTCATTCCTAGGTGGCCCTAAATCTGCGTTGGGATCTGCTGTGGCATGTGGTATTTTACTAGGTGTATTCGAGGGTGTTGGTGTTCTGCTGTCGCGAGTGTTTAATGAAGGTGCAAGACCACAACTACCCCCACGTAAGTGCTTCAACCAGGAAATTTGTCAGCCCATATATTAACAGGGTGTTATTTCAGTGCCAGAAAACATGACTCCTCAACCTACGCACTCATAAGACAGATTGCATTAGACGTATCTTACTTTAATCGATTTACCCATCTCTACATTAGAGGTCACCCGTCAGAAAAGGAGAGTGCTTGTATGCCTCCCTGCACCCTCCAAAGTTGCGAACGATACTAATGCAGGGGGTTGAGGGAACAACCAGCAAAAACTACATCATATTGTTAGATACTCGTCCTACATCGCCCTCTGCTGGCGCCCGTCCCGAATAGCAGCTCACGTGTACAGCGCCAGTGTGATCCTTAAACTTGACTCAATCAAGCACTGTCGCTCCGACGGGAACGAGTTTGTTGGCGCGGCGTATGCGCGTCAATATCCCGACTAAAAATAATCGAGAAGACGTTCCCGCCGATAGGCGGTGTCAGGGTGACGTATCCTCAGTTTTCAGATATATGAGCTACCCTTCCAAGTATTGACAAGGTACGAATCCAGTGAGTTTGCAATGGGCAAGGTCTAGACCGAACCAATCGACAACGATCGTTGGAGCTAATGCTCGAAATTTCGATTGCAAGCGTTTGAGGCATTACGAAAAACGAGGATACAGTGCACAAGCAGACTGCCCCAGGGAGACGAAACTGGTGGCGCATCGAGTCTGAGATGAAGCCTGCGAGGCATGTTAACTACGCAGTAGAAAATGAGCGATAAGATGGTCATCACCGATTAGTATTCAACCAACGAAGTTCCCCACGCTCAATGGAGTCGGCACCTACACAGTTTGCCATTTAGAAGTTTCTGCTTCGTCGTAGTCTGGGTTTGACTCGGCGAAGAGAGTCAGGGAGATCGAACCAACATTGCTAATGTCTGGTTTTTACAATCAAAGGAAAGAAATAAACCAGTAGAACTTCTGCAAGAGACCTGTTCCGCTCACTTCGCCACCCGGTCAGTCAGTAAACAAGGAGACAAGATTCAGACTTTTTGAAGGCGACATGATGGTACAGACTCCAGAAAGCATCTTCCCACGAATATCTTCCTTCGAGCGATTCTGGGCACTCCCCACCTCCGACTCGGAGGGCGATTCACATCCAGGCCCCAGCACCTAAGAGAGGCGCATGACTGTCTCGTTCTGCTACACTCACAATGTCGATATCTGGGCCAGCAATGAATGCCACTACTTCCCCGCTTGTTCCCAGGACGTGCCGCAATACGTATGTTCACAGTCTGGCTTTCCATAACTAATATCTGGTCATTATCCTACAACATGCGTCTAATTTTCCATTGGCTTTGAATCCAATGGATGCAGAAGGAGTCGTCCCACCGGAGGGACGCTTGTCACGTTTAGGGGATCTACCACAGTGTATTCACCGCCCTCAAGTTCCGGCATCGAGATTGCTAGCAAGGTAAGTACGATCATCTTGATCTCTGTGGTATAAAGGTTAACTCGAGTAGGTCAGACCTCGGACGCTTGCATACCAGTAACCGCTAGGATGCGACCAGGACACGCCCATCTTCCGAAACCGAAAGGCAAGTATCCTGGATCTACCGTCGACGAGGCCGGCCCCTCCAGCCATTTGTTCGGGTCAAACTCAGCAGCCTTCTCACCGTACAGCCTGTGACTGCGATGCGTGAGAGTAGTCATCGGGTAAACGAAGTTTCCTATGTATCGATGCATTAAACGACACTGTCGAGCAGTTCAATAGACAGACACGATGCGTCACCGAACCTTTTGGAATGGTGCGACCTGCCAGAGAAACGTCACGGGTCGTTTCACGGACTATACTCAAGGTGTCCCCTTTGGTTCTGAGGACCTCGCGGATGAAAGAATCAAGGACTGTCGATCGTCGCGAAGCATCGTATGTCAACTTGTGGAGACCGCCACTGTCTATACCATCCGCAATCGCCGATAACTCCTCTTGTACGGAAGCTAAGTACTCTTTTCGAATGGACAATTCGAATACTACCCAGACTGTGACGGCAGCTGTTTGGTGTACAGATGCGAAAATAAAACTGGCCAATCTCTGCGTCAGTCTCCGGGGATCCGAAACGCTGCTGGTAATTCAACGTACGCGAGCACCAGGGTAGACACCCACATTGCAGAAAGGATGGAAACATGACCTTGGGAGTCCGTGTACATTCTGGCGATGTAGTGGACGAGCGGCTCCTGCGAAAGCAGCTTAGGGCGTTTGCAAAAGTCAGCTGAGTCCTGCTTACATCGTGTCTTTCCTCTTCGTCGATGTACTCTGATACACGTGAGTTTAAGGGCCGGTATTTGCGTCTGCAAATTTCTCTCCATATGATGGGCACGATGACGCGACAATATTGGAAAATAATGACTTTCACCACCAGTCTCGCCCTGGATGCCTCTCAATTGCTCTGTACGGTGGATCAGGCGATACAATACGCACCACGTTATAACCTTCCATGTCTTCGGGAACGTCCGTGCGAAAGGCGACATATTTTGGTAGATACCCGTCATGGTTGCGATGGCATGTGCTGTCTCCTCTGTGACTTGCAGGGTACGGTCGCTGACGTATTTCTTTCGGTGGTGACCATGTCCATTCGTGAGTGATAAACTCGGCATGTTGACTGGTTTACATACCTCACCCACGACGGTGATTAACATCGCCTCCGCGATGCAACGGTGCACGTGTGCGAACAGGTCGACACCGTTCCCTGATGACTGGGAGTTTTTTACGATTCTATGAGCTTGACGTTTGAAGGTGGGAAATACTTAAAAAAAATATAGGGACAAGTCCAAGGCGGTAGCGATCCACGTGGAATCCAGAACTTACTCTGATCCACTATCTTTTCTATCCTTTGGATGATACCACCAGTGACCATCATGTGCACGTCCTTGAAAAATTTGCCTGTGCTCAGGGGTATTATAAACCCCAGGTTTAGGACCTAAAAGAGGGCGTGCATCGTTCACATGTCAGGGAAAGGGTCGCTTGACGTGTTTACCCTAGCTGTCCCACGTTCGAAACTGAAATCTTGGTCATTCGATAGGACCTCCTTGGCACACTCCTCGTCTACGATATACTCGAGCTAATCAAAAAGTTTGAGACCGGTGCCCATAGAGGATAAGAACCGACAAACCCTTCCTTTCCTCCACACTCCAATCACGGGTCCATGATTCTTCAAGGCCGATTCATAAGCCTTCTGCGGGGATGAAAATATTTCGCTGGCCTTATCATATTTTAGTAACTGAACACCAAAGTCGCGATCGATAAGCTCCGCAACCTACTGGAATGTCTATAATTGGGGGGAGCGGGTACGCTGGACTATGACTCGAGGGCTGTGGAACGGTATAATTTAGGGCTACTTGTAGTGTTTAGCAGCCATTCCTCAACTCACCTTAGGTCGTTTGCATCGTCGAGCAATCATGAAGAAACAGAAACCAGCACCGAAAAGCATCAAGGACCCCTAATGTAACCTCTTGCACACTCCGTAACGCAGGAGATGTGACATAGAAGGTACGTCCTAGCACTGTTTCGAATACGGTTAACATGGGGGTGATGAACACTGATATTTTTCTCGAGACTTGATGGCAATCGAAGGCTTGTAGCTGGTGGGAGGCGTGGAGCTTCTTATATTCACCAGGAACATCGTCTATTCTTTTGCCTGACTCAGTTTTACACGACCGGCTGCAAGGAACCAATTCTTGTTCTCTCCACAGCAGACAGCCAACGGTAAGGTGGCACGTTCCTTCACCCCTCAGACTCCGGGTACTCGGTGCGTTGATGATTACTTATATGTATGCCTCTCAACCCGTTGTTATGCGCCCCGGGCGCGTGGTCAGTAAATTCAAATATCGTATCACACGGTCTGATGTTCCATCAGGCAGCGCCGTATTATGCCGAGAATCATCCAGATTCTGAAAGGAAGTAAGCAATGAAATAGGTGCATGGATCTGTGACCAACAAATGCCTAAGTAGCTATATACGTACGTACAAATATTTGTATCCACAAGTTTCGAATAGGTCTTCCAAGGAAAATAATGCAAGTGTATACACACGCGCAGGGCAACAAGGGAATATCTAGGGAGCGGACGTTTGACTCTCACGCGAGGCTGTTGCAATGATTCAAGCCCCGAAAGTACCCTGTCCAAAGGTATGTCCGTCCGCCTCCACCAACCAGGGGCTTTGCTTTGCATAACCATCATTCTCATCTGATCCAGGTCGGAACCTAATGAAGCGCCCTTCCTTTGCCTGGCTGCTGCACCCATGAAAGGGCTCTGGACCCATAGTTCGCTGGGTATCACGGACCCATTCTGACCCAGAAAACCAGATGGTAGTGCACAACACACCAATGACACTGACGTAGTTGTTTGCTAGCAGAACCATGGTTCCCGTTGCGAAAGAGTGACTTGTGGTGATACAAACGATTTGTGCGAGGTTGAGAAAGAGGGGGAAGACGAAGTTAGCAACAGAAGTAAGAGCTATTTGCCGGATCCGCCCTCCGGTGCGACCAGTGTATGTGATGAATGATAAGTGAACACTACATTGACACTATAGAGAAATACCCACAATATTTTATCTTGGAGGTTCTAGCATGGAGGTTGTATAAAAAGATGCTGACGGAATATCTAGATAACACTTCGCGTCAGAGATTCTTGCTGTGCGAGAATGTAGGATGATCTCACACATTGTCTAACATCTGCATCGACCATTCCGCCGTTATGTATGGATTCCGATACCACGTAGCCTGTGCATGTTGTTCCAGCGACAGTAGTAGTTTCGTAGACTGAGCGAATTTGCGAAGATACAAGGACTATTTGGTGCCAGTTAGGGATAGAGTCGAGTATAACTTTTTGCACTTGCCAGGACAATGAGACGACCACACTTAATACACAATGGGAACATAAATATCTTGAAGAGAGTGGATCTGGGGGTCACATTGACGGGGTATAGGGCGAGGAAACGAGTGAGCAATATCGAGTCATAAAATACAGGAGGGAAAATCGCAAAGGAGATCGTTGCGATGTAAATCCCTTCTCCCGTGGGTCTGAATGGGTCGAAGATGGCTTTACCACTCGTGATACCGTTTAGAATGCTCAGAACCACAGCAATCGAGATGGCTATGACATTCAGGTAAAATACGGGGCGCCTGCGTGACTCGTGGGTCGAGAAGACGAACAAGACAACCAGCAAAGTGACCAAACACGCAGATAACGCAGTCACTCCGACGATAAAATTGAATGGAGGGCGAATAGCGTCGATGAAGGTCGAGATGACCAGCTGGGAGCTGACGGTCTGTGACATATGGATCGACTGTTATAACGGGGTTAGCGAACGTTCTAGGGAGAATTGTTCATGTCCCTATGTACTTGCTGCACATCTGGAGATGCCTAGTTTGCACACTACTGCACTGGTTGCCTTGTAGAAATCGCATTCGATTAACGGACGACCACGGATATGAGATCATCAAGCCATGCGGCCAAACCAGGCCATTCGAGCCAGTGGTACGTTAACGGTTCCGACTGTTATTGGGGAGCTGATCATCAGACAATCATCTGCCATTGAACATTCAGTTGTACTGAGAGTGGTTGAGACCGTTGCATGCAGAATCCTGAGTCGCAAGACAGAAGGAGCACGTACACGTAGGTAGATGCCAGACTAAATTAACGACGAATTGCAAGCCATTTCTCAATGAGGGAGATTTCTGAGGAAAGACGTTACTTGCCATTGAATGGTAACCGGTCCCCATTGGCCAGCCACGTACTTTTAACCCCATTAATCTACTCTCCACATTCTACAGCTGGTTTAGATGATGAGATCATGTTCCGCATTCGTCCACTACCATATCCTCACTCATGCTATCTTGTTCCTCGAACAAGTACTAAAAAATCTCTCTCTAACAGAGCTGCAAGCATCAAAAGGAGATGAAAAAGTGTATCACTGATCAATAGTCCGCGATCTCGGGTGAAGCCTGACTCACCCCATCAGTACTGCACGTGGTCCCGCAACCAGATGTTTTGGGACGGTCGCGGCTGACATGCGCTAACACTCGGTTGTTGCGTTTTGGTGCTCGGGAGATTCCAAAGCCGACCAAGTTGAAGACCACAACGTCTGGAACCGAGACTATACTGCGCGTAGCCAAGTATTTAGTAGACCGCGAATATCGGTTTGCGATGTTGTTGACGTGTACTGGCGGCCCAGGCCTCATATGTAAGCCACCTTGTTTTTTTGTCCCGGAATATATGAGATGAGATGCATCCTAATTGGAGCAGCTCGTAATATTGTAACTCGGAAGCACCGCTCTCGAGTGCCTTGCTTGCTATAACCTTGTGCCGAGTTCCCTCCAGATTCAAGAATACCGCATGGAGGCTGCCATGCGGAAGCAAAATGCGAAATGCAAGGACACGAACATAGATTCGGTCGCATTTACTGGGATATCAAGAGCACTCAGGACTACTGTATGTACTTACCAGGTGTATTACCCTGTTGTCTTCTCTCGGAGGGTGGCTCGCATCCGGGCCGGGGCTGCTTCACACACAAAGAGACGTTTCTGTTGTCCGAGGACTCCAGCACGCACGAAAGTAACTGTCCTCCGTTGCCGACATGCTTCTCCGGCCGAGCCGCTATCGCGTCCAAAGGAAATGCCGGCTTTAAAATGGAATGGAATAGCGTCAAGCAGAGGAAGCTATCGACATGCCGACGGCGTGGTGGGATGACCGTAAACTCATATTGAACCACAGGCGCATTACTTGCAGAGTAGTTTCGCTTAGTGCAGCACAGGTGCCGTAACTACATAATAATGCATATGTAAGAGACGCCCACAACGTAGTTTTTTTTTGGAGTGTTCACCCGCAAGATTCGCGCGTCAGATCCATTCATACCTGAATCCGCTCTACCTTCTCTTGTTGTTCGACCTCTCGCCACAACCTTTGGCCCTTCGGGCTTGTCCAGATGGCGACTCCGACCGAGGTCAAACATGTGCCCGCTCTCTTCAGCGCCAGACGGGTTATTACATTGCTGAGTTCCATTGTCGTTGCGCTCAGCTCTGGCACGAACTATGTTTGGATTTTGCGGTGATTATAGTCAGTCTATTCCTGATACTCTTTCGATAGATCTTTTCCGGTGGGTGGACGATAGAGCTTGGAAGGTCTCTGGATGTTCTGAAAGCCGGTCATGCTTAGCCTATGCGCCGCAGCTAGGTGCTCGTCTCCACATTTCGCATACTCAGCTCAATGTCGTTGGGCTTGCCGGAAACGGTGTGTTCCATCTCTTCTCTGAAGCCAAGCTTATTTTTTGTCCTAGCTGGTGTTTCTATCTCCGGGCCTATCTGGGGCCGTATCGTAGACTTTAGAGGTGCCCAGATCCCGCTCACTGGAGCCTTCGTTTTCTCCCTTGCCGGATATGCAGGGATGAAACGTATGTATGATGAGGGCACTGACTCTGGAACATCTGTCTCTCCGGCACGCTTTCTCTTGTTAGTGATATGTAGCCTTCTGACTGGTTTGGGTGCCCACGCTGGCGTGACTGCGGCTGTCAACATTACCGCCAAAAGCTTCCCAGAATCTGCGGTATGTCGTGCCTTCTATCTTCTCCGTGATTGTCGTGAAACATGTCTCATGACAAATCTCTAAAGCACGCCACAACCACTGGTTTAGTACTGTCTGGTTTTGGTCTCTCAGCATTCTTCTTTTCGACTGTTGCGCATATTTTGTTCCCTGGAGATACATCGGCTTTCCTACTTCTTCTCTCCCTTGCCACCTCCATACCCATGCTCATTGCATTATTCGTTATGCGGCCCGTACCTCTTCCTCAGACCCATGCGGGTCTGAAGGATGATAGAAATGGAGAGTATGAACTAATATCCACTACAGAAGTTGTACCATTTATTGCTGATGCCAATGTTGATGCTGTGGGTGTGGCAGGAGACAGTCACGTGTCTCTCATGGATATCCAGCCTGAGGATGGATTATCCTCTGCTCTGGAGACGGACCGCATCCACAGTCACTTAAGGCCAGATAACTTACCAGACGTCCACGGGAAGTTGCTATGGAAGACTCCAGACTTTTACCTCCTCTGCATGATCTTGTTGCTTTGTAAGTCTGGCAGAACTGCCTTATTGTATCATGTCTGACCAGATTGCCAAGTGGGCGGAACAGGGGTTATGTGTCAGTTCAGATGCACTGGTGTACTTGTTTGACTTTGACACTGTGCAGATATCAACAACGTGGGCTTAATCTCCCTGGCCCTCTTCGCCAAGTCAAACCCGAACTATGAAGAAGAGGAAGCGTCCAAACTGCAAGCGGCGCAAGTATCGACGTTGAGCGTTGGCAACTTCGCTGGTCGAATACTAATCGGTGATACGTATCTCATCGGCCAGCTCTGCGTAATTAACGTACTTGGCAGGCCTCATCTCAGACTTTGCACGCACTAAGTTTCATCTCCCTCGTGTCTATTCATTGTGCATTGTTTCCTCGCTTTTCATCATCTCCCAGGCATTCGCAATCGGAATTTCGAGCGTTGGTACGCTGTGGATGGCCACTGCCATCCTGGGATTTGCGTACGGAAGCCTCTTCGGAGGCCTTCCTGCAATCGCAATCGATTGGTTTGGTCTAGGTGAGTGCACATTCAGTCTTCCCCCGCCCGTCATGTACACGGGAGTCGATCACATGGCTAAATATGAAATGCACACATCGAATAGCTCATTTATCTGAAAACTTGGGATATCTTTCTCTCGCGCCACTTGTCGGCGGGAATGTCTTCTCAATCATATTTGGTCGGAACCTCGATGCGCATACGCCACGCGAGAATACGAACACGACCATTGGTGCAACCCGTGCTATGAGTACGGCTGACCGAGCAGTATACCGGGACGTTTTGGCAGAGCGCCGGTGCTTTACCGGTCGGGATTGTTATGTCTCGAGCTTGAAGGTTACGCTCGTGGCCTGCATGGTCGCGCTTGGTCTGAGTACGTTGGCTGCCAGGCGGGATAAGTACCGGCAGAAGACGAGGAAAGGGTGAGCGGATGAGTATGGCAAGGGATGTGACGATCTAATCGGGTGGACGGGTTTGGTTTGTGAGTACACGTTCCTCGATGTAACCCATGCTATGAACGCCGCTGATGCAGCTGTAATGCAAGACGTTTTATTAGAGGGTTAATACTTGCGTGGTCGGCAGTGTTACTTGTCGAGCCCGAAGGTCACACATGGGCCGCCTTGTGGGATTGGTCAGCACCGGTGTCACGAGGGCAGAGTAGATTTGAGTGCGGTAGCGCTGTATGTGCTCCTTGGAAGTTGGGACATCCCTCCAACGGGTAATTTGTTGGCTACATGCGATCACAGTCATTCATGTAAATTGCCATGAGCTTCTTAGGCACATACTACGGATCAACTACACTGCATATCAAAAGCGTTCATTTGACCTAGCGCAGTACTATTTCAAATTCACCACTACAAACTATTGCGTTCATACAGCGACCGCAGTTCGGATTGTCTTCGGGACCCTCTCGTGTCAATAAGTTGCATATCAGATCAGTAGCCTTCGTCCTGCCTACTCACGCCGCTCGTCTATTCCCCACAATACTTGGCCTTTCGGACTTGTGCAGATGGCGTTTCAGACTGACGCCAGACATAATGCTCCGGGTCTTTTCGGTGCCCGTCGCATTATAACCTTGCTGGGATCTATCCTTGTTGCACTCGGTTCTGGAACAAACTATGTGTGTTTTCTTGAGGTCGTTGTGGTCGGTTCATCTTCTAATACTCTTTTCACAGATCTTCTCGGGTGGGTATATGATATTGGCTTCCATGTCATCGGATGTCCTGAACCATGGCAATGACTAGCCTATGCACCGCAGCTAGGTGCTCGCCTCCACATTACGCACACTCAATTGAATGTTGTCGGGCTCGCGGGCAACGGTGTGTCTCGCAACTCCCTAGAGGTTAACTTTGGTCAAGCTTATCTCTTGTCCTAGCCGGCGTTTATGCATCCGGACCCATCTGGGGACGCATCGTGGATTCCAAGGGCCCCCGCATTCCACTCATCGGAGCTTTCATGTGTTTCCTCGTCGGATACACAGGGATGAAGAGTATGTACGACGCCGGTACAGGTTCCGGGGCATCCATATCTGCCGCACACTTTGCCTTGCTCGTTGCGTGTGGGCTCCTCACTGGGTTTGGCGCAAACGCTGGCCTTGCAGCAGCCGTTAATACTACCGCCAAGAGTTTTCCTGAATCAGCGGTATGTCACGCCCTTTGGCCTCATTTACCTCCCATGGTTTACGATATATGACACTTCCGTGGCGGAATGTGTTTCTCTACAGCGTGCTACAACGACTGCCCTAGTCGTCTCTGGTTTTGGGCTCTCAGCGTTCTTTTTTTCGACTATGGCTCATGTTTTCTTCCCTGGAGACACGTCGGCTTTCTTGCTTCTTCTCGCCCTCGCTACCTCCATGTCCGCAGTAGTTGGATTGTTTATTGTGCGCCCTGTACCTCCTCCGATTCACCCGGGGCCGAGGGATGGCGAAAATGGAGATTATGAGCAAATCCCAAGCGGGGAGGTAGTTCCATTCATCGCTGATCCAAATATCGATGCTGTGGGTGTAGCGGAAGAAGGCAGTCGCGCGCCTCTTTTGGGTGCTCGGCCTGAGGGCGGGTCATCCTCCACCCCGGGGTTGGGCCGTAGCCTAAGTTGTTCGAGGTCAGATACTTTGCCAGACATACACGGGAAGATGCTTTGGAGGACCCTAGACTTTTACCTCGTCTCTTTTATCATGGCTCTTTGTAAGTTTTGGCAAAGCTCGTCTTGTTTTGTGTCTGATCAGTCACGTAGTGAGCGGGACGGGCATTATGTGTGCGTTTGTAATCGATTGATTTTCTTCTTTGTCCTTAACGTTCGATGTAGACATTAACAACGTGGGCTCAATCTCCCTGGCCCTCTTCGCCAAGTCAACCTTGAACTATGACGAAGTGGAAGCTTCCAAATGGCAAGCGGCACAGGTATCGACGTTGAGCATAGGTAACTTCATTGGTCGAATACTGAGTGGTAACAGACATCTCATTTTTCATTCTTCGAGTGCGGGCGAACTAATGCACCTTCCAGGCCTCATCACAGATTTCATACGCAATCACCTTCACCTCCCACGTGCATACAGCTTGTGTATTGTATCTTCGCTTTTCATCATGTCTCAGGCACTCGCAATTGGAATTTCGAGCGTTAGCACGCTGTGGATTGCAACTGCCACGCTAGGTATTGCGTATGGAGGCCTCTTCGGAGCCCTTCCAGCAATCATTATCGATTGGTTTGGTCTGGGTAAGTGTATATATTAAATCTTCCCTCAATTTGCATTAGAATCGCTTACATGGCCGATTATGAATGCATCGGATGCGCTGGGCAACACACCTTTGAGTAGCTCATCTATCTGAAAACTGGGGGTATGTCACGCTTGCACCTCTCGTTGGTGGCAACATCTTCTCGATCATGTTTGGTCGGAACCTCGACGCGCATACGCCTCGTGAGGGGAATACGACCCACAATGTAACGCGTGTCATCGGCGAGGCGATCTCATCGGAGCGACAGTGCCTGGCTGGTCGGGAGTGCTATGTCTCAAGTCTAAGGGTCACACTGGTGGCGTGTATGGTTGCACTGGGGCTGAGTACGTGGGCTGCTGTCCGGGACGAGCGCCGGCAGAGGGCGGCAAAGAAAGGGAGGGCAAACGAGCGTGACAGGTACATTTGATGATGGATAGTAGATGCCCGGCTTGAATTTTCCGCGATTTATTCTTCCCCCCCTCCCCCCCCGTAGTCTGATAACTTAAGTATTCACGCGATAGAGCACTTTCCTTATCAACTGATCTATGCAGGTTTTTGGGGAGGGCCAAAGGTACTGTCCTGTACACAAATTGGTACATTATCGAAGTGTGTATTTTCCATACATAGTCTGATTTTGTCAGATAGCTAGTGGCTGATTGGCTGTCAGTGTCCACTTTGTCTGAACAAACATGTGTGCAAGCAGACAAATGAGATGTCTCAATTCTGCCAAAATTCAGTGTACACTAATGGATGCTTTTATAACAATGCACAGTTGAAATGTATTGTAGGGGTGGTGCCCCAATAGAGTACTTAGTTCGAAAAAACAGACTTAGGTGCGATGCTAGTGTGCTTACATAAGCACAAAAAGCGCACATACTTGTAGTATTCTCTACTAGTATTCCCTCAGTAGTTTGTTCACTACTGAGGGTAAGTCCATTCATATTCCAAGTATCCTACTATACTGACATCCTGTAGTAGCCTACAGATATTTCTACAGCATGGTGATGATTTGGACTCAGTTGGGGATGGTGAGTCAATGGCCCTGCCCTGAAATATCCTTTCTGTTGCACCATCAAGCCTTCCAGTTGATGCATTGACAAGTGTGACTGAGGGCTTTTGTAATATCCCCCAGTTCCACCACCTACATTTGCTCCCAACTGATGCTGCTGCTGTGGGAGGATGGGAAGAGTATTGTGACTCATAGGTATGAGCATGATTATGAGAGCTGGGATGGATATTGGGAAGAGGATGGTTATGGCTATAAGGATGTTGGTGCAAAGAGGATGTTTGCTGTGGTGGATACACATGTATGGGAGATGGTTGGGTATGCTGTTGTTGCATGCCCACATATCCCACATTGGATTGGTGGCTATAACCCCCATGTGGTTGTGCATGATGTGGATGGGAAGACAAATCTGGATGGTGGTATGACCCTGAAGCTGTAGGCATGTCTGAGCCATAAGTAAACATTGCAGACAGTTGTGAATTTTTGAATGATGAACACTGTTGTTGTGGATGTGCATGGGTATCATATGTCATTGCAGACCCTTCAGTCACCTGTAGGCCTGAAAGTGGGTCATCTGACATGCACATTTTGTCCTAAAAGTGGGACTAACTGATGTTGGCCAATGGTGCCCAAAGGTGGGCAGGCTGGTGTGTGGAGGTGGGATTGGCCAACCTCATGGGGAGATGGAAGTACCCCATGGAAGTGGGGTCAGCTGACCTGTTTGGAGGGTGGACCCAGTCCCTGGAAGTGGGGTTGGCTGACCTGTTTGGAGGGTGGACCCAGTGCCTGGAAGTGGGGTTGGCTGACCTGTTTGGAGGGTGGACCCAGTCCCTGGAAGTGGGGTTGGCTGACCTGTTTGGAGGGTCCACCCACTGCCTGGAAGTGGGTTCAGCCAACCTGTTTGGAGGATGCACCCACCTCCTGCAAGTGGAGTTGGCTGACCTCACTGAGAGATGCACATACCCACACCAATAAGAGGTTCAATTTTGGTACCTTCAGCTTTCTGTCAAAACTTGTATGAGGACATTGCAAGATAGGATGGCAAAGTACAGAGTAAGCCCCTTCCACATTACTTACTTTTTGGCCTTTCAGCAGGTCTCCCTTCACCACTAGGCACCTTTTGGTTGTGACCCCCAGTAGCCAGTACCACATCAGCATTCATCACTAAGTGTTGTGGAACCCCCCCCCCCCTTTGTCCCTAGGAGAAACCAATCTTGACAGTCTCTTTCCATGTCTCCACTCTTCATGTTTGATCCTAATCTAACATTCTGCACTTAGTTGTCTATCTGCTTGTTTTCTTTTAAAGTCTCTTATCATGTTAGAACTGATCCTCTCACCCAAGGGGGGTATAAAGCTCTAGGGATCTGCTGATGCTCACTGACAAGTACCAATGCAGTACCAAGGGTGGGACATTACAGCTGAGATGTTATGAAGTTGATCAAATGATACTGAACACAAAGTGGACCTGCTCTGTAGTTGACATGTTATGTAGCAGTGTCCTTGTACAAGTCCTGACAGAAGGCTGATAAAGAAGACCTAGTAGAGGTATTACAGTTGATATTCAAACTGAGGTATCTACCACATGAGTTACCAACATATGTATGTACTACCAACAAGCAATGCAGGCTACAATGTAGGTATGCACAGCCAACACAAAGATCCCAAGTGCCAGTAATCCAAAGACTGACAGGTATGGTCCAGTATGGTGAAGGTTAGACCCAATGGATTGGACATGAGCTTAGACCAATGGATTGATTACCTTGGTCTTGGGTCCCAAATCTTTGGCCTATGCCATACCCATTTGCCTACTACTTACACACAACCTCACACCCACCCCATGTAGTATGGATCCCTTAGATTTCACACTTATCTGACCCTCAGGTTTACCCTTTGACTCAATCACCAGGGCAGTGGGATTTCTACTTTGCCCAGTGCATGTCCTTTGCTAGGGTTAGGGTTAGGGTTACACAGCTTCAAAAAATCAAGCACCATGGGGGCAATTCATGTTACACAGCCTAGCAACTACAAGGATTGACCAACCAAATACACAGCCAAGGAAATATAGGATTGAGCAAATACACAGCCAAGAAAAATACAGGACTAAGTTACAGAGCAAATGTTCCAAGTGGAACTGAGACCTCAGGCATGCTGGAGGGGCCCCTCCCCAGAAAGACACTGAGATCTCTAGAGAAAATAAGGTATCTAAAAGACTAGTACAAAGATAATACAGATGTCAGTCAGAAGCTGGCCTGCACTGGCAGGCACAGACAATAAATCCCCCAGAACCCACAAAGCTGGCCTGCATTAGCAGGCACAGACTAAGCCCCCAGGTCCCACAATGAAAAAGTCCTAAGCTGGCCTGCACTAGCAGGTGTAGACTATGTAACCCCCAGAACCCCAGCTGGCCTGCAAGAGTAGGCACAGACTAAACCCCCAGAACCCACAGGAAGATAGTATCAGTAACCTACACACCCATAGTGTGCTGGCCAGGCACACAGTGGGCTGCAGGACAACAGCAGGATACTACAAAACATACCTTAAACCCATGCAGCTGCAGTCTACATAGGTGAAGTCCAGCATCAAGGGAGTGGTAAGAGGAACATGGGAGAGAGAAAGATGAAGAGCAATGTGTCAAAGTGCATCTTTTATAAAATTTTCTGCTTGCTGCTGTTTGGTCATCAGCCACTGGTTGCAGCATGTGCAGTGAAGCATGTCACATGACATCACACAACATGCTGATGGCACTAGTTAATTGGTAACGAAAACACAGCTACAATGATGTCATAGCACATTTGTAATAAAACCCTGCCACAACTAATTACATAAGCATACTGATATTAATACCATCAGGGGCCATTTGTTGAGCTGAATACAGCTGTGTACATAATAAACACAGCCACATCAATGAGAAATTCAAACTCCTCTTTGATGGTGGGAAAGTGATGGCATGGGGTACACAGCCACAATAATGTCATGACAAAATCAGATTGAAACTCCACTACATCTAATTAGGTAAGCATATTGATATTAATACCATCAGGGGCCATTTTTTGAGCTGAATACAGCTGTGTACATAATAAACACAGCCACATCAATGAGAAATTCAAACTCTGCTTTGATGGTGGGAAAGTGATGGTATGGGGTACACAGCCACAATGATGTCATGACAAAATCATGTTGGCCAACCCCACTTCCAGGCACTGGGTCCACCCTCCAAACAGGTCAGCCAACCCCACTTCCAGGCAGTGGGTCCACCCTCCAAACAGGTTGGCCAACCCCACTTCCAGGGACTGGGTCCACCCTCCAGCCAGCTCAGCTGACCCCACTTTCAGGTAGTGGGTCCACCCTCCAAACAAGTCAGCCAACCCCACCTTCACAGTCCAACCTACCCACCCCTAGGGACCACTGGCTGATGTCAGTTAGTCCCAGTTTCAGGACAAAATGTACATGTCAGATGACCCACTTTTAGACTTACAAGTGACTGAATCATGTGTAGGCATCCCAGTCAGAAGAAAGGCCTTCAACATTGACAACAATGACATTACTGACCATTGTACACAGCAAGCATTTTACAATTTTCTTTGCACAAACATGTGAAAAAAATTCTCTTAAAAGATACTCTATTTTATCATGTGCTCTCTGCTTGAACAAGTGGAAATAATCTTATGTATTGAATGGCTTTTCTGACAGAAAACATGGCACAGTAGATTTCCAATGTTTTGCTGGTGAAAAACAATTACTATGACCCACCACCAAAAACCAAAAACAATCATCAAAAAAATATTAGGACTGTTTTCTGCATGTTATGTAATTGATTAATCAAATGTTGTAACATGAAATAATTTAAACACACTAGTCATTAGAGAATGTGTGATGTTACATAGAACATCACAAGTAAACAATAAATTTTTGTATGTGATAATACTAATAACCTTTAATCAAGTCTTTCAATGTTGACCCACAAAACATCAGATTATTGGCTCAATATTTACTTCATAAACATGACATTTAAAACAATATTTGTTATGTGTGAAAACATGCTACTGAGATTCCATATTAACATGCTAAATATTTTCAGTCAAATCACACTGATTTGTCTCCCAGAGAATATGATATATAAAGAGTGTATTAAAGTGTCCTGTTGTACCACAGAACATGATAAGTGGCATCTGTAACCATCAATGCTATCACTGCTTGTCCTTGCTCAACCACCCCATCACATGCTGTCACATGATCTTATCTCATTGAATAAACCTCAGTCAGTCATGATATGTGCCACCTGACTTTTTATACTTTGAGTATTCTGTGTCCTTTGTTGTTTTTTCTTGCAACAACACATTGATGACACACATTATAATGTTCTGTGGTAGAACAAGATAGTCCAAAATCCATGGTTGCCCTGACTGACTAGAGAAAGAGTAGCCTCTGATAGCACTCCCACCACTCATGAATTTCCCCAGTCCACTTTTGAAAGTGAAAGAGCACAAGGCAGTTCATGCAAGGAATGGGGAGTTCAGCACTGTATTTGCAGTAGGCAGCAGTCTGACAATAACTGTACAGCTCAGAATCCTTCACAACACCTCTATATATAACATGCTTACTTCACAGTTTATGATACTCCATGGTGGAACAGGATATTGATATTTTATTACACTATTTATTTATCATGTTCTGTGGTACAGTTGTGGACAGACAAACACAATGATTTTGATTCTGGATTCCCATGACCTTTTTGGGGCAAACTAACACTTGATTCAGATGCAACAGGTGAAAATACATCAAAAAACAGTGGTCCAAAGTTTTTCCCATGACTTTTTAGGGTGGCCAAAATTTTGGTCAGATTGAATGTGGTACTTAGGGTGTGGTAACATGTTATTGACCCTATATAAGGTAGGATTAAGAACCACTTCAATGAATGTCATGGCTTTCTGTGAGAGCTGATGGACATCAGGACCCTTCTTGTATTCCTTGGGGCATCTGAGTGACTGCTTTCATTGGGCAGCACACTTTGCTTCTCTCAGAGGTAACCAAGTCTCACCAAGAGGGTCATCACCAGCACTAATGGCAAGGTTGACCAACTGAGCACAGAGATCAGCCTCACCAACACCCATGACTTGGAATGTGGCATCATCATGTTCAAGCTCATCCTCTGACTCACTCTCACTGGCTGTAAACTTCAAACTGTCAAGTACATTGGTGCATTTCCACTCCAGTTCTTCATCTTCTGCCTCAGGGCTGGGAGCATGAGATCATGTCCTCATGCATTTGCTTGTGTGTTGATCCTTGTCAGATTTGGGTGTATCAGGGAATGATACATTGCCTGTTTCAACAACAGCTGAGCTCTGGTTATGCAGACCAGCCATGTTGCATGTTACAGTGGGTTTTCAAGGGCATTCCTGTGTCTACGATCAGCAATTCACATGACCACAAACCTCAGATTTGCTCAATTTTTTCTGCTCCTCACTAGTGTGACAGCTGTACCCTGACATTGCAATCATACTGTACTAGGCTAATGCTACTTATTCCACTTTTTCCAGGATTTTTACAAATTCTTTTGGGGGCTGGCCAAATTTTTGGGTCAAAATTTCACAAACTTGGTATAACAAAAATTGGCTCATGCAATTGCATTGTTATGTCCTAAATATGCCTAGTATACATTTGTAACACCCCTGGAATGTTGTGCCATATTGGAATAATTCAATGAGTAAAATTGTCATGTTTGTCTGTCCACAACTGTCAAACAGGATATTTTGTGCATGACAAACCCACCATGGTCCTATGACACTGCATCTGTAACATTAAACAAACAAAAATAAAACAGCTGATTGTGTGACTTTTGCAGTAATGCACAGAAAATTTGCAGGTGGCTGTGCCCACAGCTACTGACTAAGCAGGGCATGTGCATGGGGGAGTGAGCGAGTCAGTGCTACATGCACTCCTTGCTGTTCCTCAGGACTTGTTTCGATGCTACTGTACATAACCCATGTAATAATGGGTATGTTGCCAAGAAATGGGCCCAAATTTGCTAGGCCAGTGATGACTTGTGGCATGGAGTGTGGTCACATGAATTTGCAGGTGGCGGTGCCATGGGAATTTCCTGAAGGAGCAATCCTGCCACCAGGTGGGAGGGGTGGGAGAGGGGGTCAAGCATTCGAGTGGGCCCTGTGGGGCATCATGGCCTCATGGATTGGGTGGGATGACTGGGGAGGGTGCTGACAGACTGTGTTCATGTCCTGCCTATGTTTATCTATTTTATCTGCCCTCCTAGCTAGTGCAAAGTGGTGCAAGGTGGCTGTGTTAAAAATTATGCAGGGGTAGTATAAAAAGTTGTGCAGGAGCAGTACTGCAAAAGTTGTGCAATCAGCTGTTTTATTTTTGTTTGTTTAATGTTACAGATGCAGTGTCATATGGTCCTCATTGGAAGAACTGGATGAGTCATTTTGTCAGTGATACATTGTACTGTTTTATGTGTTTCATCTTTTATTTTAGGATATAATTGTGGAATCTGTAGATAGACCTCAGTATGCTGACAAGCTACTGAGGGACTAAGTGCACAGCAGAGCAGAGCAGCAAGAGGCCTGATGATGCAGCTAGGGCAGAAATGCTGAAAGATTGGAAAAACAAGTCAAGCACACTGGAAGGGAGTGGTCAGCTTGTCACCTATGAAACAATGTCAAAGAGAGACAAACTTGGATCTGTGCACAAGGCAGTCATGCCCACAAATGAACCTAAACAGCTCAGAACCTTCACAACACCTCTACATATAAGATGCCTACTTCACAGTTATTCTGTGGTAGAACAGGATATTTTAATACACTATTTATTTATCATGTTTTCTGGGAGATAAGATACTGTAATTTGACCTAGAACATTTGGCATGCTCTCAGTACCATGTTCTTGTACATAAAAATTGTAGTTTAGCATGTCATGTTTTTAGAGAAAACATTGAACTGCTGTTCTGTTTTTTTTTTTTTTTTTTTTTTTTTTTCAGGTGAACATTGAAAGACTTGGCCAAATGTTTTTAATATTATCACATACAAAACATATATCATTTACTTTTGATGTTCTATGTAACATTACATGTTCTTCAATGATCAGTGTGTTTAAATTATTTTGTGGTAAAGTATTTGATTAATGTATTGCATAACATGTAGAAAACAGTACTAATAACTTTTTTGATGATTGTTTTTGGTTTTTGGTGGTGGGTCATGATAATTGTTTTCACCAATAAAACATTGGAAATCCATTGTGTCATGTTTTCTGTCAGAAAAACCTTTCAAAATTCAACATTATTGCCAGTTATTTCAGCAGAGAACATGAGATAAAACAAAGTATCTTTTCAAAGATTTTTTCCCCTATGTTTGTACAAAGAAAATTGTAAAATGCTTGCTGTGGTAATAGTCAGAGCAGGAGCAAATGTCAAATTAGTTGGTGGCAACATTTTGTTATGTTTAAGGTAACAAGGTACTCAGTAGCAGTTAATAAGGTATGGGAAAATAACCTTAGCCAAATCTTCAGAGTCACATCCTCCCCTGTCTCTAGATCACCATGTACTCCCTCAATGCCAGCAACTTGCAGTTTGGCTTCAACAACAGCTCATCATTCTCACCTCAGTCTGGTGACCTGTTCTTGGTCCCAACAGGCAACTGCATTGATGATAATCCAATATTTTCTTCTTTGCAGCACAATAGTCCCAGTGTCCTACCTTCTCAACAACAGCCATTTACACAATATTTGCCTCAGACTTCAATTAATCTAGTTAATGTAAGTATAGTGAGTTAAAACTAGGTGCTTACCATGTTTTAGAGTGCATATATGCAGCAGGAGTCATGCATTGCCTTTCTGCAAGATTGTTGCAATGTGCTGGAATGGCATTTGGTCAAGGTAACAACAGAACATGACACAATCAAGTAAGATATTAGTTTATAGGCTGTCTACTGCTAGTCATTACACAGGATCCTCTTTGACAAACTCACAAATGTAGTCAACTCAGGAATGTGCAATCCAAGTTTACTTGGGAGTAACTTGCCTCTACTTCTGATGACTGCAGGTGAGAAGCCTCCAATGTGTGAGACACACCCAAAGGTGTGGTTCTGGACAAGAAAAGACTATGAAGACTGGTTGGACTCCCCAGAGGCTGGAGGGAGCAATCATGGTCTATATGCATACCTTGAAGATGAAAACAGTGATGTTCCAACCTCAGAAATGCTACCCAGGATTCAAAGAGCTCTATGTGCAGGGTGGATTGAACTTACACAGTGCAAGATAGCACCAGATACTTGGGGAAGTGTGAGCATGACTGCCCTCCAATTCATACAGGCACATACAGAGAAAGACTTCCCCCTGTTCAAGCTTGTGGAAAGTGGCTGGAAACTCAAGCATCTGTGTACAAAGACATACTTGGCCTGGAGAACAAAAAATCTTGATGACCATGGCAACTTGAAGAGGACTACACATGATGTGATCAAAGGAGAGGCTCTTGATGATGACAACAACCTCAAAAGCCTCCCTCCTGGCAGTAAGAAGTGCAAGGGGCCCATGGACACTTCATTAATGCTGTCCAACAAAAAACAAAAATGTGAGTAATCCTATCTGACACCTTGTACTAATATGCAAAGCCACAGCAGCCTTGCAGCCCTGGGACCCATCAGAATCACTGAAGTTTGCAGCACCAGACTCATCATCCATGTCCATGTCCACATCCACATCCACATCCATGTTGACATCCCTTGGTTCAGCAGCTTGCATAGCATTGCCAATACAAGGTTTGCATCATATTCCTCCACAGCACCAACTTACACCCATATAGAACTACCTGAATACCCTGCTGAGACTGCTTCAGCACAATTGACCCCCCAGGATGTGGGTGCAGCCTTGGCCAACAAGGAAAACAATCCAAGCATTGACAATGCCAATATCCTGACCACTACCAAGAATCCTATTGTATATAATCCCTGTGTAACTTCATGCATTCTTTGGGATCACATTTACTGATTTTGGCATCAACTTTCCAGGAATTTACTTGCAATGGCTGCAGGGAAGGTCAACATATTGCCTGTCCCTCCCATTGTGGAGAGTCCATGACTTGATGCATGAGGCCCTTCTGACAGCATGTTCACCAATGTATCCAATGATTGCAAAACCAGTGTGAGTGACTCAACAACCAAGGTGAAGAAGACTCTATGGCCACTGGGCATGAAGAATGGATGGTAATGAATGCACAATGGCATACTCTTGACTTTGAATGGATTAGGCTTGGTTGAGTCAGCTTCCCAGTCCTCTATCTGCTGCTTCCATAGAGCAAGTTGCTCAGGAAACTTGAGCTTGAGTGACCATGTTAATTCTTCAAAGTCACATTGATGATCATTGTGCTCAGGGATGGCCTCCTTTACCCTCCTAAGAAGAGAAGCACCTATGATGAACAGGAGGTAAATCAGTCCTCAGTGAATCAATGGAAATGGTAGTGAACCCAGTCCAATAAGCTTTTTCCAGTTCCAGTCACCAAAGTAGTCATCCAGTGTGTCTTGATGATGACCAGGGCCCATGGTCTTCATGCTTGAAGCAGTGGGGTTAAGGTTTGCCCATCCATGCTCAGGTTCTTTGCCATCTGTCTGACCAACACCCTTGGTCCAATTGAAGGAGAAGGACCATTGGCATGAGGTGATGTGGGCAGGAAGGTGAAACTTGGGTATGAGAAATGTAACAGCCTGGTTGCATAAGTTTGACTGTAAAGAAGGTGGCATCTGGTCCATCTGCTGATATAACTTCTTGTGCCACTGGCAGGCAATGTCATATGAAACTTTGAGGACAGTTGCATCTGAGTGGTGTAGTGCAGATGCAAATGCATAGTCCATATTCACATATTTGTATGTTTTACACTCATGAAATGATATCACATTGGATGTAAATGATACACACCTTTCACCATATTGTAGGTCAACTATCCCATTTGGGAGCCTCATGCCATGCCTGGCACAAACAACCATGCCAATGCCAGTCACATTGCAACCCTTCTTTGACTTTGCATCTGCCATATTCACTACATTGTGATTTGAGCACATGCTTTTCTGGATTAAAATAAATGTTTGCAAGTGCATTCAGTGGACAACTGCATACCTCTTGGATATCATGCCAGTGGTCACTTAAGTATCTCTTGAACATGGTGTCCTCCACAAAATATGCCCAGCCCTGACTGAGGCTCAGATTGTTCTCATTATTTGAGACTGCACAATGTCTGAGGCAAAAGTTGGCATCAAGAGCAACAAAAAGTGCATCAACATCTCTACATAACAATTTAGTCAAATATCGGAGTTAAGATATAGCTAACCTTTCTGGTGACCCCATCATGTTCTTCCCAGGTTGAGGGCATGCTGGACATAACACTGCACATTCACCTTCTTTTGTATTTAAAACACCAGCAGGATCATGTCCTCATCCTGAACATTTGAGCATCTTGAGGTGGTGCCATTGATGGACAATTCTCAACAACTGTTTGTAATGAGCCTGACACAACTGAGCACAAACTTTACAACATGAACTGCAACACACCTTAGGTGGATTTAATCCAGTATTATCTGAATGATGTGACAAGGTGCTGTAAAACTTGTAACAAGAAAGCTTGGATTCTAATGACAGGAGATGAAAGTCTTCCAGGACTCAGAACATTGCTGCAGTGCAGGGCTTATTGGAAGTTGCAGGGAGCCAGTGAATGTGCAGCAATTGTTGTGTATATGAATCTGCAGTCTCACACCCACAGAAGGTAAGGCTGACAATGTGAATCCCATTCCTGTGCATAACAACAAACTCATCTTTCAGGACAGACTGGGGCCTGCAGCACCTTTTGCCAATAGGATGGCCCAACTGCACGATCAAGCCCAACTCCTTCAACATTTTGCTTGCGAAGTATCTGCCATTCCACTCCTGTCAATAGTATAAGTACAATACTCTTCCGAGTGTATTACCACTTACCCTCACACAGTGCAATGGGTGATCTCCATGACAAGTCACTACACATTCTTGGCAGTACATGTCAACTCCAAGGCAATCATCACAGCAGAAGCAAGCCAGTCAAAGCTTGCAGTCAGGACAGGTACTGGAAACACCACATCTACCTTCTACAGTGCAGGAGGGGCATAAACATACTGTTGATGAAAGCAAAAGCATGTATGTTTCATCTCCTCAGCCTTTTGCTTGTGAAAAAAGATGAGGATCTACGAATTTATGATACTGCTGAATCTCTCACCAAAATGATCAAATGAATAGCTGTATATATCATTGGTGAATCCGAGTGCCACATTCCAAGAGCTTTTGAATGCTGGGGTAATGGCAATCAACAAAGCTGACCGAAATGACTGCAGATTATTCACATCATGTCATATATGGTCCTTCATATATATGTTGATAGGTTGAAACTTGGGAGCCATGCATTTACAACATGTCAAATACAAGTTATATAATCAAAGAAGTGGGTAGATCTATTAACCCTTTAGGTAGTTTGAGCACTCCCCCTAGTCTGTTTCACTGTCACAGGTGAGGGAGAGCTGTTGATGCCCCTTTTGCGAGTTTTGGGCTGTAAATTTAAGGCCATAAGCAAGATGCTCATTACATAATGGAACAGAATGCTCACCAACAACACCTCTTTCTTGGTAACATCCCAGGTGACATTGGATGCCACCAGAACTTTAGTATCAGTTGGAGAATTGCTGTCATTGGAGTCATTGATAAGAATCTGAAATGTCTTGAGAGGGGTAAGTCAGTCATCTCATGCTCATGCAAACATCATTACACATACCATTATGGCTGGTTCCTCATGCATATATGAAATAGAGAAACTGTGGAGTCCCATTTCATTCAGCAATATCAGCTTGATGCATTTATGTGGCATGATAAACAGTGACTTGATACCAGTAACAAAGGACGAGTAGGGAAGGGGGGTTGAAAGCAAGCTGAACATGCAACTGCTGTAATAAATACCTGACCTATAGTAACATGCTTTTCATCTAGCCTTGGATTTAAAGTTGAAGAAATGTACATGTTGATCTTCAGGGTTAATCTTGACAACAGTGACATGACAGGTGGTTGGACATCCTTGGGGTTTGCAGTATGTTGATCTTCAGGATTAAAGTTAAAACTTATAAGGCAAAATCCTGGCGAAACAGCAGGTGATCAGACATCATCGACTCATCCTCAGGGTTTTTCAGTGATGCTTCTTTCCTAATCACTCACCTCTGAAGAAGTTTGTGTAGCACAGAGCATGAGCATTCCCCAGACTGTGGACTGTGGACTTTGGTGACAGTGAATTGCACACTGCCCTTAGCATTTGGCACCTGAGGTTATGTAATCTGAGGACTAATTGAAGCCTGGAGACAGTACTTAGATAGTGGACTGGTTATAAAATGAGAGAGCATGAGACTAGAATCACCTGCCATGCACTACAATGTCTTGGTGGGTAATCATAGGTGGGACCAAACCTGGCATTTACCATGGGTGGTGAGTCAGACTCTTCAACTGACTAATGCATACAGATAATGATGGAAAACCACATTGTTATAGTCCATATATCCTTTGTGGGAGGTCATCACCTCCACTCCCCATCACCATTGAGTGTACTTCCATGGACAAGGCAAAACTTGTCATGCAAACATTGGATAGCATCTTACAACCAATACTACCTGAACCGACCACCCATGACTTGGTCACCTTCCTCAACAAGTTGCCAGCAGTTCAAGACCTCCTCAAAGACACAGGTGATAGTTTCTACACAGTTGTTGTCAGAAACCCCCCTGGTGTTCATCGCACTGAGTAAGTGTCGCATACTACAAATTCTCCCTGACTAATCACAATCCTATACTAGAGAAGGAGCCAATCATGTGGGGAGCTCATTTCATTGGGCAAAATGGAAACAGACCAACACACTTCATGAGGCCTTAGTGTATATGGCAGTGAAGGGCATTGAGGATCAACTACCATGAGTGGTGACAGTAGACAAAGTAGCTGAATCCACCAGTTAGTGTCATATACTGTTCTCCCCACTGATGTTGTGCACTTACTGCAAATAGGCCTTCAAGACACTGATGTTGTGGCCCCTTGACTGACCCAATCTGTGCCTTCTCAAGCATGTGGACATTCCATGAGTGGTGGGTGGATGATGTTGTCCTTCATCAACATCCAACTTCTCACTTTGACCTCAGCTCTGCCTCTGATTCAGTGTGATTCTGGATCTTGTACAAGCCCAATTATATATGCACACATATGGAGTCTTAGGGGGATCACAGAAAGTCACCACCACTACTCTGAAAATACAGCTACCTGTATTCATGCCCAGGTGCTTGGTGCTCATGCAGCACAATATCTCACTGCTCATGGCTATATGCATGAGGCTATTGACACTATTATATGTGCATGTAATGGTGCATTAAGTGACCATGTATTTGCTCTTTGACTTTTGCAACATGGCCTTGCCATGGCAGAGGCTTTGTATTTGTGGCATTTGATTCAGTTACAGTGATCCATCTTGTGCTGACTTTTCTTGAACATTATTAGTTGTATACACAAATTAACAACTGATTTTTGCCTAAACATGTGCATGACTCTGCAAAATCTAACTATCAGACCAGGAATATGAAACAAAACAGCACAAAACACATGTGTATAAAGTCCCAAGATGTTCTGGAAGGTGCTATCTAGTGTCTGAATTCTTCACGCTACAGAACCTCTGGAGACTAAAGGGTATACATGCAAATGTACTAATAGGTATGAAGCAAATACATGATTAGGATTAGTCATTTGTGTGTATATGGTTATCTGCTGTAATAGGCATACATAGTAAATCTCCTGTCATGGTGACATGCTCTCACTACTCTGACAACTTTGACATGGGGTGGCCGAAATTATACAAAACACAAGATCAGAAGGTTTTGGCTGCTTGGGCTTATCAAATGAAATACTATCAGAGGTATCAAATCTATTTCTCTTTATTCTGAAGGACACTTCTTGGCTCAGGGCTGTTGTTCATCCTCAGCCATAGAGACAAAATCAACCTCAAGCTCAAGGAAAACAAGGCAGAGCCAAGAGTTCTTTCCAGTTGGAGGAGACTTCTTCATATGATCAGCTTTCTAACTAGTTGTCACAGTGAGTTACTTACTCTTATGAGTCTAGGGTGATCCATTTGGACACAGAACAATCCCCTGAACTGCTGTGTGCGCTCACTCCACTCCTCATATATTGTAATCCGACACCCTTTAGTGGTCCCAGTGAACAACAGGACACTGAACCATCCCCTGAACTGTTGTGCACACTCACTCCACTCCCCATATCCTATAACCTGACACCCTTTGGCAATCCTAGTGAACAACAGGACACAGAATCATCCCCTAAGCTGCTGTGTGCACTCACTCCACTCCCCATATCCTGTAACCTGAGACTCTTCAGCGATCCTAAGGAACAACAAGGATTTGGGCCCAGGCAGGTCAGAGGTACTCACCCAGAACAGTTTCATGCCTCATTGCACCCCAATAGGCAGTTTTGTGTCAATTCTTCATCATGCTCTGGGCCAGATTCCATTGATCAGATCAACCACTCGCTGAAGGCAATAATAGGGAACTCCTGTCACTCATTTATGGACAACCTATGCCAAAATTACATTGATAGTGGAGATTATTCAAAAATTTGGGCTGTTCTGTCCAAGGTGGATGGCTTGGAGTCATGAGTGCACATGTTGAAATGGCAACACTGGGATGACCTGAATGATCCTACCAAGGAAACATATGATCATATTCACTTACTATCATGAATTCTGGAGGACCACTTGATGAATGCTATGGAAGGTGCAGATGTAGCTGGGATACATACAAGAGGCATTTTATTGTTCCAGAACTACCCACTAGACACTATGTAGTACTACAGAATGAAGTGGTTCTCTCACTATCCAAATGTGCTGACCCTGCACTTGCCACAGTTTTGAGAACAACAACTTGTGGTATTTGATAATTGAAGATCTCCGATTTATCTGAATTGCCATCGCTGTCTTCGCTCTTGCACTTTTCTCCTACATGCTAGTTGCATAGTTACTCAGTGGCCATTCTGTGAATCTGATGTGTTCTGTAGTGGCTGAGATCTGTACATGAGATACATGGATGCATTGTACAAAGACACATCAATGCACTATGCAAGCATGAAGACAGATTACCATTGTTGCCTTCACTCTCACTCAGTGGCCATTCCATGAATCTGAGGCTTTCTGCAGTCACCAAGATCTGTAACATAAGATATATTGATATATTACACAGAAGACTCACCAATGCATACCTTTTAGGATCTGCATTAATTTTTCATTTTGAATGCAGTGGCCTAGATCCCTAATCAATGTAGATCACCTAGTGTAAGATAAGATGTGTTGATGCACTCCTTGTTGAATGCAACAAATGTATCAGTGCATTCTGCATCAACATGTTAAGTATAAAATGTTTTGTTTATATGCCTCACCTTGTCTCAACTCTCTGTCCATTGCATTATAACTGTCGGCTGCCAGTAAGTTTGATTTTGTTGTGTGGTATGCATTAGGGTTAGTGACTGGCATCACATTGTAGACATGCCAAGGAAGGAATGGACAACCACTGAGCAGAAGAAGTTTTTTCAGGACAAGTTAGTGCAGTACTTGAGTATGAGCACCAAGGAATACTCATGATACTGGCCAACTGTCTTCAAACAATGGTCGCAACTCTGGCCCGAGAGGGCTGTTGCATTCCAAGACCTCCCACCAGATGTATCATTGACTCTTGAGCAGGACAAGATCCTCAGAGATGCTGTCACCAAGTGCCAACAGGTCAGCAATATCACATTACTTCATGGAAGAGCTCACTGAATTTCATGCAGCAATTACAACAGTGGTTGTGCTGGCATGCAGGAGCTGGGAAAAATTGGGCTGTGAACAGGAAGACATTGACCATTATCAATGGCTTGATGAAAGCTAAAACTCGCATAAAAAAGCCACTGGACATTTATTCAAAAATGTACTATACCTTGTGGGTCAAGCCTGACATCTCAACTGATAGTAACATGTCCAGTCTTCACAATCAGATTGACAAAAAGTTTAGGGTGGAACCTCAAGAGATCCAAGATGAAGTTATGCACATCCATAATGAGCAACATACCAGTAGGAAGATGCCCCCCACTGAGAGTGATGATGAAATCAGTGCTGATGTTGATGCTGAAACATGTAGAAGGTGGGAACACTGGCTGTGATGCTGAGGGCAGTTAGTGTTCATTCCTCTTTCAGTAACATACAGTAGTGTGCACCAGCACTCATGCAGATTCTCACCCATTTGTCACAAAAGTCCAGCTGGTCCTTGTCAGTTCTGATGGGTGGGCCAGATCTGGCAGACACTGAGGAGCAGTGTGTGGTTGCAAGGTGAGCAAAGTACTACTAATTGTGTTTTAGCTCACACAACAGTGTTTGTAAAGCCTTCACATCAGGAAGAATAGATGTGGACTTAATTTTGCAGAGTCTTACCATCACTTTGACTCCACTGTGGTGCAAGCATATGTGGAATTCCTTGACTCCAAGCTTTGTAAGTTTTTATTCTTTAGTTAGAAAAGCCACAATGCTGACTGGGAAGATGATAATGTACCCATCATTGCAGCCTCCTCCATCAGCAAGAAAACAGGCCACAACAAGGGCAGTGATGCAAATGATGGTGCTGATGTCATGAAGGGTGACAATGATGATGAGCATGACAACCACAGGAACATGGATGACAAAGATGACACTGACATTGGTGAGGGTCAGGAAGGTAATGATGCAGGCATTGGCAAGGACAATGAAGGGGATGATGTGGATTGGTGATGACCAGGAAGGTGATGATTCAGGCATTGATGATGACCAGGAGGTCATGGATGTGATCAGGGAGAGTGGAGAACAGTAGATTATACTGTAGCTGTTGCAATCTTGGAAGAATGATGGACAAGACTGGTATGAAGACATTGCAGGGAGCAGGGAGGAAGGATCCATATGCTTCTTGGACTGGAGAGACTGAAACAACCACATAAGACCTTTCCAAGTGAATGACAGACCTGAGGTGACCAAAGAACATCCTCCTAGAGGTCATACTGACAAAAAGAACATGCTGCCCAAGCTGGATGGGCTGAGAGGGCACAGACAAGGGTGGGATGTACCAGGATGCTTCAGGATGGAAGCTGGTAGGAATTCCTGGCAGATATATGTAGCCATGGTCCCTAGCAAAGGGGACAAGTGAAATGACTGATGTGAAGGTGGCCATATCAGAAGAATTTAGTGAAATGAGCATCTTTTGGAGGGAATGCTGTAGAAACATGTGGAGTGTGCAAATCCTTTCCAATTTTGGAAGGTAAGATCACATGGCTGAGCACTACAAGCAAGTGTGGGAATGGTCTCAGTATCTGCAGAAATGGCAGAGATATGTTGAAAACTGGAATGCCATACACAGGCGCTTAAGAATTTTAACCAGTGCTTAACTTGCTCCCTTTCTTTTTCTTTGGCACTGATGACTTGTTCTTGTGCAAGGGATGACTGCTGACATTTCTGGCTGTCCTTCTTCGCATGAGGACTATGGTCTTCATCTCCATTCATCAGCTGTATCCATGTCCACCTCACCAAACACCTTTGGTGTGTGACACTGGGGTAGGACCAATCATTCTCATACCCTTTTGAGTGCTTCCCTTGACCATCTGGAGGTTGCTGATTTCACAGTATGAGGTCAGTTGTTAGAAATGCTACCCACTAGTGCAAGTCACTTTATCATTTAGCTCTATCAATGTCAGTACATTAACACATGTCAGGGCATAAATACAAATGCAACTACACTGGCCTTGCACAATGCATGGTGCTGCCTTCTTATTACTGCTCAATCCCTGCCTGCCTTCCTGCTGCACCATTACCTGGGTGCTTTGCCTGGATTATGATGGTGAATTTGGATGCTATATTAGCTGATGAAGGTGAAACAAGATGTTTGGTATCAATATAAGTATGGATATGATTGGGCAAGCCAACTGACAGCCTGGATGCAAACTGGGAGCTAATCCACCTTTGGGTGGGATCCTGTCAAAGAGATCAGCCTGATTGGATATTTCAGTTGCTTCATGGAGGTCTGAATGAATTCCTTGGCATGACCACACTAGTACTGAAATGCATTGAGACCAAACAAGGGTGTGAAACAACTTGGCAGCCAACCATCTATTATACACCATTATACATCATACCACATCATACTCCATGGAGTCCTGGTACAAATCAGATACCTGGGATCAGATGGAAAGAGATGATGCTGATGGTGAGTGAGATATAGAACCATCAGATGTGGGGGAAAGGGAGGAAGAAATGTTTGAAGTGGAAGAGTTGGAGATCCTTGGGCACCAATTCCAGGAATGGAGGCAAGCAGGGAAGAAGAAGCCTGCAGTTCTGCTATCCATATGGGAGGAGATGCAGCAATTGGACAGGAACAAGGAGTTGAGAGGGAGCAAAGTCCAGACCAAGTGCAAGGTATGCTCTAAAAGTTCTGATTCAGATGCTCACAATTCAAAGCACCCTTGTAGCTAATACAAGATTGGTTGAAAATGCCCCTCCATTCAAAGAAGCCCTGCATTACCCTTAGATCCAGTTACAAATACTCTGTGTGGGCAGTGGTCTGTGAATTGTACCAAGAGCAAATACAAGAGAAGCTTGCAAAAATGAAAGTAGAAGAAGGTGATACCCATGGAAGCAAGCAGATCCAACAGTATCAGAATGCATTGACAGCTTTTATTCAGGATGACCTGACCACTTCAGGTAACCCATTTTCATAAGCATTTAGGCTGAAGTTTTGCTCCAAATCATCCAAGCTAAAAGCCACTCAGACCAGGTCATCCCAGGGACATCTGACCATGTCCCAGGGCTATTTACAGTTTGCAGGACCTGGGATGTCCCATAATCCCAGCCCTTTGGTAATATATTTTGGGCTGTTCCATGACTTCCTTAGGTGTCAGGGGTTCTCAGCTCAAAAAAGTGCAGTTCATATTCACATTGAAATGCCACTTCTGAGCAGAAAAACATACAAGGCTGTCATGATCATCCTGGATGATGAGCACACCTGTCCAAGTGGGGGGATATGTGAGAGTCACTGCCATTCCAAAACCATGTAATTCAACTTATGTATTATGCACAGATTTGAAGAATACTGGGCAATCAGTATGTTTGTGTGTGATGTCATTTCCAGAACTCATACAATGCCCATGGCAGTGAGCATTGCATTATTGTAATGAATTTTAATGGATTCAAACCTCTCCCATGAGTGCCTATGTATGTAAGTTCCCTTGTTGACTGCAAGAGTGCTCCTTAATAAGATCATACTAAATGCATCTCAGCCCTCCTCTCTGAAGGCCAGTGGAATGTCCCATGATAGCTTCAGAGGCTATGATGGGATATCCCACCCCCCTCCCTGGAGACCAATGGGATGTCCCATGATAGCTTCAGAGGCTACTGTGGGACATCCCACTCCCCTCTCTGGAGGCCAGTGGGATGTCCCATGATAGCTTTAGAGGCTACTGTGGGACATCCCATCCCCCTCTCTGGAAACCATAGGGATGTCCCATGATAGCTTTAGAGGCTACTGTGGGACATCCCACCCCCCTCCCTGGAGACCAATGGGATGTCCCATGATAGCTTCAGAGGCTACTGTGGGACATCTCATCCCCCTCTCTGGAGGCCATTGGGATGTCCCATGATAGCTTCAGAGGCTACCATGGGACATCCCACTCCCCTCTCTGGATACCAATGGGATGTCCCATGATAGCTTTGGAGTCTGCAGGCACTTCAGTCAATCCCCTTTGGAGACCCATTAAGTCTATATATTTCCATAGGTTTATATACCTATGAGGTCTAAACAGGTTGGGTATACCCAGCTGGGACTCCAGGGCAGCCATTGATTTCTCCTGGCATGGTGCTGATCATAAGTGTTTTGTGTTTTCCTCATGCAATTTTCCACTTGCTGATAAGATAAGCATACTGTCATGATTTCAAAATCAGGAGCTACAACTTTCACTATGATGACTTTGCTGCATTATCACTTGCTGGGGTATTAACACCTACTCATGCTAGTTGTAGTAGTTGGTAGTACTGCTAGTGTAGGCTATGCTACACTTTGGTAGTTTGCATTTTTGCCTGTCACTGACTACAAAAAGTGTAGTACAAGTCAGAGGGTGGAAGTCACATGACACCAAATCACATGACAGGATCAGTCACATGGTTGATGCTGTAACACTCACATGACCTGAAGTGTGCCTAGCCCAGCACTGGTGAAGTTACATGACATGTCCCTTTCCAGGACCCATGACCCAGGTCATGTAACAGTAATTCATGTGAGGTTGAATCATGTGACAGTGAGTCATGTGACTTGGTACCCCAGGTCATGACATTGATCAGTCACATGCACCTAATGGTCACATGCCAAGATCAATTGGTGATCACATGATATCATATGACTGGACTGAGACCTATGATCATGTGATATGATGCCTTTGGTCACAGGAGGGGCCAATCATGTGGTCATGCAAATCCAGAGTCACATGACACCATGTGACTGCACCTACTTTGCATCTGGCACTATGTACCTAGCACATGACTAACTTGCCCCTGAATGCTAAGTGTGGCTGTGCTTCAACATGAATCATGTCACCACTCATTCAATTCTTGACATATGCATCTGTGATTTTGCAGCTGGGATGGTCTAGGGGGTATCCACAACATGTTGAAGTATTATCCAATCAAAGTCACTGGTTGATGAGATATAAGGGGAATGGAAAAAGTGAAAGAACATCACAACATGCATCCCACACATAGTTTATGCAATGCTTAATGCCTTGGATGCATGCCCCATGTCCCTAGCTACCTATGTAGAAAGCATCAAGTCAGTCCATCAGGAATTGAATGAACAGCACACAAATTACAATTCCCAGATGTGTGGGAAAACTCCAAAAAGCACAAATAAAATAGTGGAGATTTACAAAACATATCTAAAACATTGCATTGCAGTCTCCACAGTGCTGCTACACTTGCACCAATTCACCTGGCACATGGGGTGGCATGCCCTGCCATAATAACAGCAGGTGCCTAGTGATATCTGCAACTAAAAGTGTCAAAAATGCAAAATGTGCACCTCTAATCAATCAGTCAATTAGAGATTTATAGCTTTGAGATGGCCACAAACCATTGACCATTGTGTGCATTTCGCATTTTTGACACTTCTAGTTGCAGATATCACTAGGCACCTGCTGTTATTATGGCAGGGCATGCCACCCCATGTGCCAGGTGAATTGGTGTAAGTGTAGCAGCACTGTGGAGACTGCAATGCAATGTTTTAGATATGTTTTGTAAATCTCCACTATTTTATTTGTGCTTTTTGGAGTTTTCCCACACATCTGGGAATTGTAATTTGTGTGCTGTTCATTCAATTCCTGATGGACTGACTTGATGCTTTCTACATAGGTAGCTAGGGACATGGGGCATGCATCCAAGGCATTAAGCATTGCATAAACTATGTGTGGGATGCATGTTGTGGATACCCCCTAGACCATCCCAGCTGCAAAATCACAGATGCATATGTCAAGAATTGAATGAGTGGTGACATGATTCATGTTGAAGCACAGCCACACTTAGCATTCAGGGGCAAGTTAGTCATGTGCTAGGTACATAGTGCCAGATGCAAAGTAGGTGCAGTCACATGGTGTCATGTGACTCTGGATTTGCATGACCACATCACCCTCATGACCATGTGACCACAGGTGTGGATGTGGTCATGTGAGGTCATGTGACAGACCACTGTCATGACCCAAGGC